GGTTACTCTGTTCCCACTCGATCGAGTCCTTGGTCGAGCTGTTGCTTTACTGCTTTCTTTACTTTATGCATTGCATTTCATTTCTTAGGTTGTTAGTGTTACTTCATCTATTTACTGCTTGCTTGACTTTCTTGTGTTTCATATTCTCATAGAGTGACATTTCCCATTTTGGATTGATAACCCTTATACTACATGACTATGATGGTTAAGGGAATTGTTGATTGTGATTGTGTTTGCATCCATTACCATCCATCATATTTACCACTGTTGCATTCCACCTCATCTCATTTCATATCTTTCACATCCACACACAAATCCTATCATCAATTTGGCGCCGTTGCCGATTTGGGTTATTTTGTTGCATTTGAGTTTCAAACACTTGGACGATCAAGCTATACCACCCCTGTTCTTTGTACTGCTGGGTTTTTGTCTCTTTTTGCAGGTGTATGCGAACTCGATCGAGTCGGTCTACAGACTTGGTCGAGCTAGACTTACAACGGGTAGAAAGAGGGTTCAGAGGTCACAGAGGGTACAAGAGGAACCTGAGGTGCTTGTTGCTGATACAATGGAGTACCAGAGGGGAATGGAAACCCTTTGGGCAATGGACTCGGTCGAGCTAGGCAAACTCGACCGATTGGTCTAGGAGATGCTCCAAACCGCCACCAACAGAGACAAGGGATTGTTCCACCACCAGTGCAGAACCACAACTTTGAGATCAAGCTGGGAATGATCAACCTTGTTCAGAACAAGATGTTCCATGGATTGCCAAGTGAAGACCCCATTGACCACCTTGATGAGTTTGATAGGCTTTGTGATTTGACAAAGATCAATGGTGTCTCTGAAGATGCCATCAAGCTGAGACTCTTTCCTATGTCTCTAGCTGACAAAGCTCACCAATGGGAGAAGAGCTTGCCCCATGGCACAATCACCACTTGGGATGAATGCAAGAAGGCCTTTCTTGCTAAGTTTTTCTCCACCGGTCGCACAGCCAAGCTTAGAGGAGCGAGATATCCAGCTTCATCCAGCGAACAATGAGACATTCGCTGAGGCTTGGGAGAGGTTCAAAGGCTACACAAGTCAGTGCCCACACCATGGATTCAACAATGAATCACTACTCTCCACTCTTTATAGAGGATGCTTGCCTAGGTATAGGGAGATGCTAGGACACAGCTAGCAATGGGAACTTCCTCAACCAGGATGTGATGATGGCTGGCAGCTTGTGGAGAACATAGCAACTCCAATGGAAGCTATGGAGAAGAGTATGATCGCACCAACCGGAGCTCGACCCACCACTCGATCGAGTCGATGAGAAATTGAGAAAAGATGTTAAGGCATTGAATGAGAAGTTGGATAAGCTGATCTTAGCTCAGTCCACAATGAAGAAAGTCAACTTTGTGTCTGCTGAAGAGATGGAACCAGTCCAAGAAGGGGAGGATACACAATTTGCTGAGGTGTGCTACATGAGCAATGGGCAAGGAGGTTACAACAAAGGATACTATAATTACAAGTCCAACCCAGCCATGTCATACCGAAACACTGATGTTGCTAACCCTCAGGACCAGGTCTATCCTCAACAACAAGCAGCTCGATCGAGTCAAGCCCACAACATGGGTATGGTCAAAAGAACAATTACCAAGGACCCCAAGGGACTTTTCCTGGTCAGCAAATGAATACCACCTGGCTTTCCCCACCAACCACCCCAGCCTGCACCTACAAGAGAATGAGCTCAAGGCAATGCTAAACAACTTGCTTCAAGGGCAAGCTGATGGTGTAGTGGACACAAGCAAGAAGCTAGCTGAAATCAACTCCAAGATCGAGAATCTCAACACAAGGGTTTACTCTCTGGAGAATCATGCTTCTTCTGTTGCTGCTGCTACAAAGCAAGGACAACTACCTGGTAAAGCTATTCAGAACCCCAAGGAACAGTGCAAGGTCATCTTCACTCAAGAAGGACTTGTTGAAGAAGAGGATCAAGAGAGAGTCATTGAAGATTTTTGTTTACTGCTGAATGATGAAGAGATTGTTGCTGCTGAGGCTCCTGGAGTCCAGATTGATCAACCAGAAGTGCAGCACCTACTGTGGCCATTCACACTTCACCAGTTGAGCTCGCACAACAAGCTCGATCGGCAGCTCGATCGAGTCGAACTCTAGCTCGATCGAGTCCGACCTCATCTGTCCCAAAGCCGATTTTGCTTGATCCTTACCAACCGTTGACCTCATCGTCCGCCTACTTAGTCAAGGTCACAAGGAAGTGATTCACAAGTTCAGAAGAGATCTCAGTGGGATTGGAATTGAGTTGCCTCTATGGATAGCATGAGTGAGGCATTTGATCAAATGCAAATGGTCAAGGATGTTCTGCCAACAGTGATAAAGTTTCAGAGGTCCTGAAGAGTCTACTCATCAGTTCAACCTGCTTACTTCACCCACTTTCCTACCAAAGGTCAAGGATCAAGGGAAATTCACTCTCCCTTGCACACTTGGGCATCTTGAGCTTGACAATGCCTTGGTGGATTCTGGAGCAAGCATCAATCTGATCTCTCTCTCATGGCAGAGAAGCTAGGCATTGCTGGAGCCTTGCAGCGCCCTACTACTTCAATCATGTTTGGAGATGCAACTTCTAAGTCTCCTCTTGGAGTGTTCAAGAACTATCACTTGAAAATTGGAGAATGCATCATCCAAACTGATCTCACTGTGATGGAGATGGAAGAAGAGAAGGATCTACCTCTGTTATTGGGAACCCCTTCCTTAGTACAGTTGGCGCTTCAATAGACTTTCACAAGCAAGAAGTGATCCTTCACAAGGTGAATAGTTTGGTGTCATATCGCTTGCAGCCTAGAGGTTCAGACTTTTGTGCCACAATTGACAACACTCTCAGTTCTAAGAGTCATGAAGCTACAAAGATTGTGAAGGAAAGGGTTGACAAAGAACCAAGAGTTGGGAGATAAGGTTGAGAAGGACAAGGAGTTGATAAGGACCAAGGATTGAGAAGCCACGTCTTGAGAGGGCTAGAGTTGAGAAACCACGATCTGATAGGCCACGAGCTGATAGACTTGTTCAAGCCCCTTGTGTGCTTGATGAAGAGAGCCTTCAAGCTTTGTTTGATGAGCCACTAGGAAGGGCTCTAAAAGAAGGGGAGGATGCAGCCTCTAAGGCACCAGTGGGAGAAAAAGAAAGATCCACCAGCTCAGGCCCCTTCAGCCAAGCCATCTCAGCTCACAATGACCTTGTTCCCCACCAAGTTTGAAAATGGGAAGATTGAGTACAAGATAAGGTACAAGGGGAGATCAAGGCCATTCTCTAGAGCCAAGGCCTTGGTGACTTCAGAACAGTCCAGGGACCCAACCAAGCTAAAGGAGCTTCTGTCTCAAGTCCTCACTATCACCCTTGATGGTGGGACTAGCTCAACCAATGCCTAAGAGGTAAAGGTCAAGCTATGGGACCTTAAACAAGCTCACTTGGGAGGAAGTCCCATGTATCCTTGTACATATTCTTTATGCAATTTCTATCTATTTTGTGTCTTTAACCTTTCAAAGATTAAGTTTAGGTGACAAAGAAGCCAGCTCGACCGACAGCTCGATCGAGCTAGAAACAAGGGTAACTCGATCGAGTTCCACAACTCGACCAAGGTAAGTTTTTGAATTTCAAATTTCTAACCGTTTCCTTGGTCAAGGGGTGGGTCCCACATGTAAATTTTGGTCCCCCACTTCCTAAATCGATCAGAAAAACCCTTTCTTTTGTCCCCTCTTTAAACCTCTTTTAATCCTCAACCACACATCTCAAACACTCCCTCTTCCCCATAACTCGATCGCCCCCCTCTCTCTCTCTCCCACACTCAAAATTTCTGAAAATCACCCATCTCTCTCATCTCTCTAAGAAAAATCCGAAAATCTCTCTAAGTTTTTGCGATTTCTCCTTGTTTTGTATCTTGAATTGCTTTAGTTCTAGCTACTGTTCTAATTCATCATCAAGCAAGGTATGAACCCTAAACCCCAATCTTAGTTCATTCCTCTCTTTCATTGCTTGTTTTCTTTGAATTTTTGATTGCATGTGCTCTTGTGGACTTTCTTGAGTAATTGCTTCATATTCATCTCTGTTTATAAATTTTGTGAACTTGCCTCACCTCACCTCTGTTTTGCCTTTAAACTTGTTGCATGTGCTTAAAACCTTGAGTTTGAGTTTGGTATTGGCTAGGATGCTTTAATCTTCACTAGAATTGCTTATTGTTCCAATTCTTGATGTTCTTGGTTCGATTTGATGTTAGCATCCTTTCCAGCTCTTAATACTTGATTAGTTCGGTTTTACTCTGTTTTCACTTAGCTCGATCGAGTTTGTCACTCGAGTTTTTTGACTCGATCGAGCTGAGTGTCGAGTTGACCGAACCAATATTACAACTCTAATTCCTTGGTTTTTGATGAATTTCAGGACTCAACTTTGAGAAGCAACAAGTTTAAGATGTTGAGAGGTGAAGGAAGCAAGGCAGAAAGAGGAGATAGAGAGGGAAGGAGAATGCTAAAGACATAAGCAAGGAAGATGGGAAGAGATTGAGAGGTTGAGGGAAGAGAGGAAGGACCAAGAGAGGAATGACCCCATCAGCAGTGAGAGCGAATTGGGAGAGTTTGAGATTGGGGTGAACATTGGGGGAGAAAGTGATGACTCTTCAAGTGAAGAAGGGGAAGAGGTTAATCAAGAGATTGATGGAGTGAGCATGAGAGCAATGAGAATGGAGCCACAAAGAAGAGGAGGATGAGCTCCCTATGTACCAAGAGCACTACAATGCTCTCTTCTCCATGGACTTTGTGGAGACCAAGTACCCACATGACACAATGAAGGCCTTGGATCTTTGAGGATGTGGAGCTAGTCCTCAAGAACATGCACTTGGCCAAGTTCTTCTCTCATCGCATGGAGTCATACAAGGAGCTCACTTGTGAGTTCTTTGGCATCATGAGGTACCACATGTATGATGAGAGGATAGACTGATTGGACCAAGGCTTGGGGATGGATCACGTTCTTGGCAAGGGAGAAAGAGAATGGTGATCACCTTCAGGCAGCTGGAGATCTTTTTGGTTTCACTTATGGAGAAGGAACCCATTGGGGATATCAAGGAAATGAGCTCCAAAGGTTTGGGCTACAATCGCTGAGGAGGATTCTCTTCTTCAAGATCCAAGGCTGCTCAGATAGGAGCCCAGTGCTGAGATATGTGCACAAGGCACTTGCCAACACCTTCTTTGCAAGGAAGGCCACTGGGACAATTAATGAAGGAGAAGTGAAGCTCCTTGACATGGGAATCAAGCCCATCATCTCACGCACAAGGATGGGAAGAGGATCAGAGGGAGATAGATACACGGGAAACCTATGCCTCTTTCAGATCACTCTCCTACAAGACAACAGCCTATAACACTCGATCAACAAGGAAGAAAGCTTAGTGTTGGAGGGGTCATCACACCCATCTTGTGTGCAGCTGGGTCCAAGACAAGAAAGCACTCCAGCCAGGTGGATGGACATCAAATTTTGCAAGACCAACCTCCTCATTGAACACAAGGAGTTGAATGGGAGGTACCAATTCAAGTTCACACACCCCATTGGCTGGCCCTTCCAAGCTTCTCTGCCCAACCCTGAGCTCACCACAGTTGTAGAAGGCAAACATTGACTTCAGACCCCCACTTCACACGTTAGTTGGGCATGAGGATGATTTGCGAGAAGAGGAGCCTGAACTCGATCGAGCTGAGGATCGAGCTGAGGACCGAGCCCAAGTGAATGAGGATTTGGGTGAGCCTGAGTGCTACTATTTTGAGGAGTATGAAGCTCCAAGGATGAACCCCTCTGTTGTGGCTGCTCACAAGAGGATTGGACTTCTCCAAAAGTTCAACAAATGGCAAGGGAAAGCCATGAGAAAATGCAAAAGTCCATGGACAAGATGGTGAGCAAGATCAAGAAGTTTGGAGAAGAAGGTCTGGTTCTTCACAAGAAGAAGAAGACCCATGGCTCCTACATTCCCTAGGAGTAGATCTCTCTCACCACTCCAAGGAGGCTCCTGCCCAAGAGCCTCACAGAGCCTCATCATTCGAGCCAAGGGAAGGAGAAACAACACGCAGAGGAGGAGGAAGAGTTCCAAGGCCGACGCTCCAACTCGACCACCGGACTCGATCGAGTCCAAACAGAGGAAACTCAACTCGATCGAGCTGAGGTCGAGTTGACCTGGAGGAGCCGTTTCGAGAACCCTGGATTCGAGTACGATCCAGCACCTTACCAGGACTTCCTCAGAGATGGACTCCTACAACAGTTCGAGCGAGCCAGCTCCACCAAGGCCAAGGAGCCACACCACTTCGAGGAAGAAGAGAAGAGGAAAGGAGCCGCAAGCTCGATCGAGTGAGGAAGTCGAGTGGAGTGCTCCTGATGGCCGTCTCCATCTCCAGACCACGACCTTGCCTCCCAGTTCTTTGGGGGGCACTGAGGTATCCAAACACCAACCCTTGTATATACCATTTCATATTTTCTTGCATTTGTTTTTTTTTTCTTGGTTTTGCCCTCTTGAATCTTTCACTAAATTTCTCTCACACAAGGGACTGTGTGATTTAAGTTTGGGGGAGGGTTCAAGAGATGATTTAACCTTGTTTTCTTTGTTCTTAGTTTTTCATTTATTTGCATAGAAAAACCAAAAAAAATAAAAAAAAATCCAAAAATATTTTCATCTTTTTGCATTCATATTTGTTAGATTGTTTAGGATTGCATCTTTTCTTGCATTGTTGATTTGACTTTGAAAACTTGTTCATCTTTTGCGATTTCTTGAGTGCCCTAGATTCTCTTGTGCATTAGGGTGAGATTGATTGAGCAACAAGAACCATGTTTATCTTGATCATATCGCTGCATGCACATCTCATTCAACCATTGCTGTGATTTGATGCATTTCCCTATCTATTTGAACCATAACTTGATCTTTAATTACCAATGCTTGCATTTGATTTCAACTCATGGCTACCACATACATATCTGGACATTCTTTACCATTTTCATATCCCTTTGCTTGTCCAGATAGCTGATCTCTATCTTTGAGACAGTTACCACACCTTAAACCTAAGCCTTTTTCATTTCAAACCCCATATTATCTCTTGTGCGAATGTGAGAACCTTTCTTGGCTTTGCTTAGCATAAGGTGTTGTGTTTAAACCGGCAGGGGCAGTAGTTCTAGTTGTCTAGTTCTCTTGGGATTGTTTTCAGGCTAAGTTTGGGGGTGCCAACTCGAGCTCGATCGAGTTGGGTGTAAAAACCAGAAAAGTGGTAAAAGTTGGGAAAAACCAAAGGAAAAAGAGTTTAGTTAAGTCCAGGGAGTTGGCAGTGTTAAAAAGGGTCTAGTAAAGGTTTGGGAAGTTAAAAAAGAAAGTAAAAAGGGTTCTAAGTAGAATGAAAAGAAGGCAAAGCCTCAAGTGTCAAAAAGAAAGAAAAGTTCCCTAAGTGTTTAGAAAATCCCAAACCGCTAGATGTTACCTCAAGAAGCCTCTCCCTAGTTCTTAAAAGAAAAGTGAGCAAAGCTCCTCAGTTTCAAAGGCGAAATGCCAAAAAGGGTAGTTAGGATTTTGTTCTAAAAAGCTCTAAGTGTTGAACTCGATCGAGTTAGGATTAGGGGCTCGAGCTGCTGTTCTTGCATCATCTTTGGTTCTAACACTTAGCCTTCTGCCAAAGCAAAGCCACTTTCTTGAGAGATCCCTGTTACTAAACCACCATACAAAAGAGACCCTCTTTGTCTCTTAACCCATAAACCCTTGAAACCAAATGAGTTGATTGATCTTGCATGTTTTTGGTTCACTGTTTTTGCTTAATGAATGTTAAAGGGATTTGCTGATTTGAATGCATTTTTGAGTGACTGTGAAGTGGGATTGATGTTGATAAGCATGGTTAAATCTTAATGAATATCTCTCACCTTGTTGCATTCTAGAATCTCTAAGTTGGACATTTAGCAAATCGCTTTTGAGGACATGTTTTTAAGTGTTGAATCAGCTTGTTTTCAAACCTCATCTCTTTCTTGTTCTATTTGTTTGCTTGAGGGCAAGCAAAGTCAAGTTTGGGGGTGTTGATGTACTTGCATTTTACATAGTTTTAGTACATCTTTTATGCATCTTTTGCATAGTTTTAGCATCCATTAGCATCATATCTTGTTCCTTTTCTCTTCTTATGCATTCATAGTAGTTTTAGGTTGCATTTGCATACATATGCATGTTTGGTCCTTTGAAATAGGTCTTTTGGAGCATTCTGGAGCATATGGGACGTGAGGAGCATGGAGGACTTGGCATGGACGCAGCTCAACTGGACACGCAAAGGAAGAAGGAGGAAGTCATCTTGAAGTCGAGCTCGACCGGCCAAGCTTCAACTCGATCGAGCTGAGAAGTCAACAGTCAAACCCGAAAAATGTTGCTTCCCCCTTGACTTCCTTTGACCCTAAACCTAATCCTCTTGTATTTAAAGGCTCTAAGCCACGAAAAAACACAAGCTTTAGATTACTTTTGTTTTAGCTTTTTTAATTTTTGCACTTTTTGAGCCCTAATCCTCTTTGTGTTCTTGAGCTCTTGCTCTTGAACCTTAGATCTGGATATCTTCTTTGTATTTGCACTTGCTTATTTCAATAAAAGTTGTTTATTTCATCTCCTCTTTCATTTGATGTCTCTTTCATTGCATTTGATTGTGTTTTCATTCATGGTAGCTAGATTAGAGATCCTTATGCTTAATCTCTTCTTGCTTATGTTCTTAATCTAGAAATCTCTCTCTTTTGGACAAACCTTAAGGCTACATGACCACTACCCCTGGCTTGTATGTCCTAGGCGATTCTCCACATGGAAGTGATGGAAATCGCTTGGAAAAGGTCCACTAAGAGCTCCAATAAACCTTGCTCTCGAAATGGAGTTCATAGGTGTTGGATGGATTAGTTTGAGCAATGATCCTATGGCCTCCAAGGCTTGATTCTCACTGGCTAACCCCCTGTTTCTGAGATCAAGTCTTGGTTGATAGCTTTCACCTTGGGAAAGGGTTAGCTAGGCATTGAGAAGCTCAATATCAAGAGATACCTTGATACAAGTTGTTTAAGAGCAAGATTGATTAAGTATAGCTTCCCTGATTGTAAGACCCTGTCTTAGACCCTAATATTCGCATTAGCTTGTTAAAGTTCCTGCCTTTATCGCTTTTTACGCTAACTCGACCCTCAACTCGATCGAGCTTGGTTACTCTGTTCCCACTCGACTCGAGTCCTTGGTCGAGCTGCTTGCTTTACTGCTTTCTTTACTTTATTGCATGCATTTCATTTCATTAGGTTGTTAGTGTTACTATCATTTACTGCTGCTTGACTTTCTTGTGATTTCATATTCTCATAGAGTCAATTTCACCCTTTTGGATTGATAACCCTTATACTACATGACTATGATGGTTAAGGGAATTGATTGATTGTGATTGTGTTTGCACCATACCATCCCATCTTCATTACCACTGTTGCATTCCACCTCATTCATTTCATATCTTCACATCACACACAAATCCTATCATTAGAGGTTTACAAAGGGGTCGGAGCCACGAAAGTGGAAAGATCATACCATAATGTTTCTGGTTCTAAATGGCACATAATTACAATAACCCTAATCGATCGATCCTTGCTTCTTGAATTGCTTATCTTAAGACTATCTTATTGCTTAGCCCTTCTCTCCTATTGATTTCAATATTTTATTAATTTGCATGCCTTTGCTTTCACTGCACATCAACCAATCCAATTCTGTTTTCCCTAGCTCGATCTCAATCTCATAGTTTGTAGTGTGCAATCTGGTCTTTGTGTTCGATACCCGTTTATTACTTCTGACCTATGCACTTGTATAATCAGGGATAGGAAAAGGGAAGACCTGATCCGCGATCAGAAACCCTTATTTTCTGGTTAAAAGAGGACCAGCCGCATTTTCTTCACACTTTTCGAGGTGAAAAATTTCAGAGAAGAGAAGTGGAGATTTTCGAGAGATTTTCGAGTTTTTAGAGTCAGATCGAAGTGCCGTTCATAGTTGTTCGTTGTCATCATCTCTCATTTCCCCCTTTTCAATCTATTTTAGAGGTGAGTGCGTGATCATAGTCTCGTAATTGCTAGAAAATTGATTGATTAGTTGAGTTCATGTTGATTTATGTGTTTAATCGTGTTATTGGTGATAATTGATGTTGATTTCGTTTTTTTCGTATTGTTTCGTTGTTCTGGGTTTTGTATGCGAATTGGTGTTTATTGTCAAAGAAAAACTCAGTTGAATTAGCTTCTCAAAATTACCTAACTAGTTGGAAAATAAAAATGACAAGATTAAAATGTTTTATTGTTTGAAGGGAAAGAAAGACACAAACATAGTTGGAAAAAGATTCAAACTAAATTGAACATAATACTAATTAAAAGTCTAGAAATTATCTTCGATTTCAAAAGAACTTATACCGATCATCAAAATATAATACATTTCCTACAAGTCTAGAATTAAATCCCTAAAATTACCAACTAGGTTGTTGACATCATGATAAATCAAAATGGCAAAGATAAAAGGTTTTAAAGGTCCATAACCATGAATCCTTAAACAAACAAACACATAAACGAAAAACAAAAGATAAAACAACAGAACACAAACACAGTTTCAAAAGACCTCAAAACAAACTTAAAAACATAATATCATTCCTACAAGTCTAGAAATGAGGATTGTTGATTCCCGGCTAATCCCTATTGATATCAATCAACATCACCTTCATCAGCACGTGTTCTATCACGTGGTGGTGGCTCTTGACAGAGACCATCGTTGGTCGTCATAGTGTTGTTGCTCCAGTGAAATTATGGATCATCATTGTTGACGTTGCTTCCTTCCTCTTTCATTCCAAGCCCACGGCTCATGAAATCAAAAGGGTATTGCCTTGGTTGACTCATATCCATTATTGGATTATTGCTCACGATATGATGATGCTGTAATGGTTGAGAGACTGACCCAAGCAAATCACTGAAATTCATCACCGGTGGACCAATCAGATCCATCTCCAGATTAGGGTTTCCGTTGCTACTACTTCCTTGGTACGGAAGATAACTTCTAGGGTTTGGATCTTCAATACTGGCTCGCTGGTGGATTTGAGAGTTGAGTGGTTCATCAGTAGATGAAACAAACCACTTATCCATCAAGTAATGACTTTGATTTCCCCTTAGTAAAGAACCGATATTAACCCTTTGCACTGCTTCATCATTCTTCCCCAATCTATTATCGTCTTGATTGCCTCCTATCACGGAAATATCATTTTTGGCGGTCTTAGAGTACTTCTTTGACTGAACCTCAAAATGATGCACTGGTGGATCGCGAAGAGGAGGATGCTCCACGAAATCTAGCCTCTTCCTGAGAAGCATGATCTTACCCTTTAAGAAAGATAGCAATTTGTGTATCTCATTCAAGTTAAGGTCAACAAATATACGACCATGATGTAGTTGCACCATCAGTTGATCGATCACATGCTCCATGTTCTTCGTATGACTCTTCGTCCATTGCTCTTGAACTTTTCTTGTCTTCTCCTTGAGGTAGGATTCAAGGCTCATCTATTTCTTCTTCTTCTCGATCTCCGGTAAGGCAAAAAATATCATCTGGGAGGTCACTAGCCGCCTCAACAGATGGCCACACTGTCGGCTCAGTCTCGTTGGGGCTGAATATTATCATGCAACCCTTTAAATCACACAAGATAGTTAGTTCTCTTACCTTTTTCACCAACCCAAGCTTTCTATTTTTCAAACTTATTACTCTTGAGCTTTCATTTTCTACCCATGCAAGTTTCAATTTTTTTCTTGTCATGAGAGCACACTCTTTGATTTTGATCGTTTTTTTCTGTTTTGATTGGTGTTTATGGAAGAATATTTCACTAGTGGTTTATATAAGGAGGATTGAAACAAAGAGATAAGGTGGATGAATAGATGATCATGCTCACGATTCTTATATGTAAAGTTTGTATCTCCACAGATGGAGGAAACCTGCCCTTCACTCGCTAAAGTGTAACATTGGTTGCTTATGGCACCCTGGTACTTTCAATAGCGGTGCCTCATGGTTAATTAGAGACCACTCAGGCTCGGTTCTGTTTCACAGTAGAAGATCGTATGCGCTAGTAACATCTCAGCTTGAAGCGGAGCTCCTCAGCTTTTCCTGGGCCATTTCTTCGTTGGCAAACTTACGTTTCAGCTCTGTCATCTTTGAGTCTCCCCTAATTCTTGCTCGGAAAGCTCTCATGGAACCTCATCTCTTCCCGCAGCTGAGACCTCTACTGGATGAGATATTTATCACCTTACAATCCTTTGTCTCATGGAGCCTGGTTCATACATCTTATACTGCTAACCGTGTTGCCAACGCTATTGCAATCAGTGTGATTGAAACGAACCAACTGCAGTCCTATGTTGCCAGGAGTGGTCCGGTCTGGCTCAATGGTCTTCTTGCTGACGATGCAGCGCCTTGGTAGGCTGACTAGCTCTCGGTTGGGTTCCTAATCGGTGTTCCCCTTTGAGCTCTATTGAGCCCTTTCTTTGTTTCTTTTTCGTTTGTTGGTTTCCTTTTTGTTATCTCTTTGATTTCACATATAAGATGTCTAATGACATCATGAACGCCTCCTTTGTACCCTTTTCTTTCGTATTATCTAGTGTTAAAAAAAAAAGTTTGTATCTCCAGTTTGAATTTCTCAGCTTTTAATGGTATTCTAATATGGTCGACGAAAATATGAGGGAATGTTTTGTAAAGATATTAATTGAAGATTTTGGTTTGAATAGTATTAGTTTTTTTGTTCATACAGTTAAGATAAAACTAAACCGGTTCGATCTAAACTGATCCGAAACTATTTTTTCAAGAAACTTAAAAATTTACCATATTTTGTTTGAAATAGTTATTTTTCAAAGATCAAAAGACCTTAACTGATTTCAACATAGTGGAGAAAACAAATTGAAATAAGATTTCTTAAAATAAAAGAAATTCATTTATATTAGATTTGTAAAACAATATGGTTCAGAATTGAATTCCAAACTAAACCAAAATCGTACTACGCTGTTTACGTTATACCTTAATAATTTGTTCAAAACCAAACCGAATCTAAACCCGGATTGAACCACGTTTGAAATATCTATTTGGATACCATGGAATTAGGTAAAATGAATTTATTTCTAAATACATTGGGAAATAATATGACTTTGTGGTCATAGTCAATATACCGAATTTATTATTTAAATTGTAGTTTGTCATTAGTTAACGCTTATAATTTGATTAACCACATCATTTCCATTACTGTGCATTGTACAAAATAGCAAGTTTGACGGCCATTTTTGGAATTTTAAACATTGACTATACAATTCAAGATTATATTATGAACAATTATATCACAGATTATTATGGATATAAATGTTGACTGTTTGGATATAAACATTATTTTAACTTTCTCATGGTAAATTGGAAACATATTAAAATGTTTTTGCTAAATCCTTACAAAAAGTTGACTTCAAATTTATATTATATTTTGTATTCTCTTCTTAATTTTAAATATGAAAATATGATATATTTGTATTATATGATACTCCTTCCATTCTTTATTATTTGATGTTTTAACATTTTTTTTCCTTGTTCCTAATATTTTGATGTCTTAGATTTTATTTAATGCATTTCACTTTACAAAACATTAATCTCATCGAAAAGATAGATTTTGGTGAAAATAAATAAAAATCAAACTTCATAACCAATAGAAAAAATTACGAGAGTAACTAATAATGTTAACACAATTAATGAAGTAGAATACTAGTTAAAAAAAAAAAAAGTAATTTGTTAAAGTAAATAATAATGGTTTATTTATATGTATGAAAATACTAAAATTGTTATAGAAGAAAAGAGAACAAGAGAATAGAGGAATTGGTTGTGTGTTATTCCATTGATAATGAGCTTCTTATATAGGATTACAATATAGGGTTTTCCTTGGAAGAATACACTTGGAGAACAAGTTAGAACATTCTAGAATATGGGCCGATAATGGGTTCCATATAAACTATTTAACACTCCCCCTTGGAAGTCCATTATCTAAAAATATCTTCTAAGTGCGCAGGATGCTGCCTCGTTAAAACCTTACCAGGAAAACCCAAAGGGAAAAACCTTAGTTAAGGAAAAAGAGTACAACGCGCAACTACTCCCCCTCATGAGAACATGTGTAGATCAGGTGAACTAACTTCTTGAAAGTAGCAGATGGAAACTCCTTTAAAATCTTCACTTGAACGGTCTTTAGAACATTGACATCGCCATTCTTCTTGGGTTCATGGGTCAAGATGATTCATCTTGATCAATCTCCTTGCTTCACTTGATCTCATAAATAGATGACAAGACTTCTTTAGATGTTTCTCATTTGTGTGTTCTTTGCTACCTCATTAAAACCTTTCATGGAAAAACCCAATGGATAAAAACCATGAGAAGGAAAAAGAGTACAACCACACATATCATTATATTCTCCCCCTTGGAAGCATCTTCTTCAGAGATGCATTCCAATAATAAATATCTTTTGGAGATTACTATAAATATAACTCATGAAAGTCATTTAGACTTTTAGTCTATGACATCTTTTTCTATAAACAATCATTTGGACTTCTGGCCAAATTTTCTCTTTTATATACATTCTTGAAACATCTATCTTGTATATATAATCTCATGCTCATTTTGCTCATTTTCAATTATGAAAGAGACTAACATATTTTTCAAATAGCATTTAAGTATGGTACTTCAGGACCAAATATATGTGAGCATTGTTTATGTAAATCATGCCATAACATTTCTGGGAATTTGGGATATCTTAAGACAACTTTGTCTTTTCTTTTATCCCATCTCCTTTTGTGATACTAATTTCGACAATTCTTATGGAATTTCGATGATGTTTAGATAAGGATCTCTTTTGATCTATAAATATACATGGGTATTTAGCTTATATATTCACTTTCCTGATTATATCCATGAATCAATTTCTTTTCATTTGATTAAATAGCTAATATTTTCCAGGAACAAAACAATGATATCATTAATTCTTTAATGATTATATCCTTCAGGGACTTTTACATAAATGTCATTGTTTAGTGAGTTGTATAAGTCAAGTTCTTCTTTCATTGCCAGACTTAATGAACTTGAAAGTTGCATCCACCACATGAGAGTATATCTCTTCATACTCATTCTTCTTCGGCACAAATGCCTATTTATAACTCACTTGTTTCACACTTTTAGGTGAAAGGACTTCTGGTCCAAATACTTTTTCTCTTTCTAAGAGGATTTAGTTATGTGTCTATTGCTTCTTTTCGATTTGGCCAAATCATTACTTTGTGTACACAATGCAATAGACTTTGTTTCATGATCCTCTTTCTCATTCATAATATCAACTGCTACATTGCATGCAAATATATTATTTACACGTTGATTTGCTTCTGGTTCCATTTTATTCTATAACATAAGTAATTTCTCGAGATCTCATCATTGTCTCAGGTACCTGAATTTCTTATTTGTCATGTTTAATGTCTCTTCTGGAGATTATTCATAAATATTAGTTTCCTCGGTTTGACCATTATCTTATGCACTTTTTACTTTTTCGAGAATTCTAATATTTGGAACCGACAAGTCTATCACGCTTCATGCGTTCTTTAGACTCACTAGCAGCTTGATACTGTCCTTCTGGGACATCAATTCTTATTAGAGCATTTACAGTTGGTAAGTGACTCAATCACTATATTTGGATCAGTAAATGTATTTGGCAACTGATATTGTAGGTTTTGTGAATGAATTATCTTTAGGACTTATATTTTATATTCTCTAGTCCGAGGATCAATGATAATTCATCCGAACTATAATCTTTCTCCAACTGTTTATTTTCTCCCCATGATGTTGGAAAGTGACTCACTAAAATGACAGTCAAATGAGATTCACATCCAACATGTATTTACCACCACCTCTTTCGAGGATCCATCTTATATTATTGTGGTGGAACAATATTGATGTGTACTGCACATCCAAATATTTAAGATGGAATATATTAGGTTTCTGACCCAAAAACCAAATTCGGGGAGAACTTTTAGTTACTCATTGGCTTATGCGAATTAACACTTTTGCATTTTGTTTATGAACATTTACTACGAGATGTTCATCATTTACTTTTGCCAAAATTTTTTCATGAAAGACTTAATATGTGAATTCACTGGCATTACTAAGTAATCTCGCAAACTTCAGGTTGCAAAATTATTTCATTGATACATACAACAATTTTGTTGATGCATTACAAAACACAATGAAATTTCTTATAGATAAGTCCACGAAATGGGTTATTAAACCACATGTTTCTTGTATATTCTCTAGAAAATGAATAGATTCAAAATCATGGCTAGTGATAAATGTTGTATTATCATAATCTCTTATGATAAAATATCACATTAGAAATCATTAAGAAGAATCTTCTTGTTCTTCAATATATGTCTACATGTTGTATCTTACTTCGCATAATTCTTGAACTGGAATGGTCTAACCAGCTCATAGCAAATTATGTTAGATTCAGCAAACTTCTGGTTTACTACATAACATCTATTTAACTTTTATTATTGATTGTGGGATTCATCCATTCTCCCCCTCGAGATGATGATACTTGAGGTTCATCTATCTCGAATTGAATTCAATAACATACCCAATGTGAATCATGTCTTATATTGTTAGATTCTCTAAACTTTTGATGTTTGTATTATATCTTTGATTATTTTCACTTTTGGGATTTCATAGATATAATGTATCAACGATTATATTCATATAAAGAGATCTATATTTATATACTCTTCTAGAGATATATCTTTCATTTGCAATAGAAAGATTCATATTCATGTCTATGGTCACATCTTTAACTATTTTACTTGCATATCACATTCACTTCAGAAAATGGATCATAACCAATTAGACAAGATTCAAGATTCTCATCAATAACTCATTATATTATCAAAACTTATGCATTATCTTCCAGATAACTAAAACTTATTTATAGACTTCAGGTCTTGTAATCTTTGATGCAAATATAATATATAGAAAATATAGAAAAATAAAATAAATAAATATTATCAAACTACATATATGTATAAATAAAGCATAATAAGAACAATTAATATCAATAACATGTCACATTTTATTATCACTTCAGGTGACAAATTTAATTTTAAAAGAAAATAATAGATTAAAAATCATTAAGAATTTCTATGCTATTGTGTCTACTGGACAACAATATATTATAAAATACTTTTTAAACATAGTTATATTATTGTGTTTTCAGGACAACAATATTTTTTTGATTTCTTCTAACACATTTGTATTATTTCCACTTATAAACTTCAAGTTTATGTGGTCTTAGATGCAATAATTTTTTTTTTTTAGATTGCTCTATTAAGTTATATCACTTCTGGTGATTATTTATTTAGATTAATGTTTTAGACCATATCACTTATGGTGATCATTCTTTCAGATTACTCTAAAGAATTTATAGATTTTTATAGCTAAGTACTCAATTTTCATTATGAAAGGCCATTATCAGATTTTAAGCAAATCAAGCAAGCCACGATATCATAGACATTCATATTTGTATACTGGAATTTCAGATTCTATAAACATAGAATTTTATAAAGTAAGTAAATAATAATAGCTATCAACTTCTTTCCGTAGTGGTTGCAAAACCAAACCAACCATATGTATGAGAGACAAAGCATTAGAATATCAGATAGATTTTCTTTCAATGAATCGATATATAAAATCAAATTCCATTTTCCTCTAAGTTTGAATAAAACAATAATAATTATAAGCCAAGTAAATCAGAACTTAAATCAAATGCGAACAAAAGCCAGCGAAGTTATAATCATGATTCTGAATGACATTGATAAGAGCATGTGCAATGCATATACCCATATGGGTTTCTTCCCACATTTAAATATTAAAAAAAATATTATTTTAGTTAAAGAAATTTGGAGAAGAAACTTGAGAATTATGGCACAACATTGCACATCCATATGGGTTTCTTTAAAAAAAAAATTATGATTTTTTTTTCAAGTATTTATAAAATTGAAGAAAATAATATTATTCATAATAACTAATACATTATTAAAAAGACAAATACAACATTTATTACATATAAAACGGAAAAAAACGCATACAGAGAAAACACAAAGACAAACATACATGTTCTAAACCATATGAAAACATGATTAAGAACCAAATTTGTTCCAAATATGCTCAACCAAATCAGCTTTCAATTGGTGATGCTTTTGTTGGTCACGAATATCAGCTCGATTAGCCATAATATTGTGGACATTCGACGGCAAGCGGTCAGGGGGATGTACTTGTGAAGACCCGCTCCCGTCTGCTCCTCCTTGTTGAAATTCCGTTTCGTTATACTGAGTTTCAGCGTCTCTTTCATCTTCCACAATCATATTGTGTAATATGATACAAGCCTTCATTATATTCCCTATCTTCTGCTTATCCATTGTAAGAGACGGGTTTTTAACAATTGCAAATCGAGCTTGTAAGACTCCAAAAGCGCGCTCAACTTCTTTGCGGGCAAACGATTGATGGGCACAAAATAATTTTGCTTTCGGTTCTCCTGGCTGAGGAATTGGTTTGACAAAAGTCGACCATTCCGGATATATACCATCTGTGAGATAGTAAGCCTTCTTGTATCGGTGTCCATTAACAGAGAATGACACCTTAGGAGCTCGACCTTCTAATATATCATCAAACACGGGTGAGCGGTGGAGAACATTAATGTCGTTTAAAGTACCTGGAGGTCCGAAAAATGCGTGCCAAATCCACAGATCATACGACGCGACGGCCTCTAAAACGATTGTTGGTTTTGCATGACCCCGTGCATATTGCCCTTTCCATTCCGTGGGACAATTTTTCCACTCCCAATGCATACAGTCAATGCTTCCTATTGAGCCAGGAAATCCACGCGTCTCTCCGACCTTGAGTAATCGTTTAAGATCTGCTGGTGTAGGCCTTCTGAGATAGTCCTCCTCATAAAAACCGATGATTGCGTTGGTAAATTTATGCAAGCATTTTGCGCAGTGCTCGCTCCTAGTCTGAGGTATTCATCGACTGCATCAGCTGCATTGCCATATGCAGCATACGAATGGCGGCGTGCATTTTTGTAAGCCGGTAGACCGGGCTTTCCAGTACCATCCGGTATGTGCTGAAAGAAGGGTAAGTCGGATAGCTTGTTAACTATACGCATGAACAATGGTCGGTTCATCCGAAAGCGACGTCGGAAAATGGCCTCGGGATAGATAGCATTCTCACTGAAATAATCATTGATCAAGCGGATGTTCCCTTCTTCACGTCTTCGATCTATGACCGCTCGTTTCTCCCTTCTCTTCTCTGGCTCAAGAACTTCATTTATATCATCTAAACGAAAACAAGAGTGTTGCTAAATTCAGTATTGGCAAATGTTTAGTTTAGTGGAATCAATCATGAACCTCAATATCAATATTTGTTTTCCAAAAATATTTGTTTTCCAGAAACATTACGGAAGCAGGTGTATCAATAAGACCAGTTTATTCCATGAAGCATAAACAAGAATAAAACATGACTTTCATAAAACAAGTTTAATGATATAGACCAGGAAGCATTAAAACATGACTTTCATATAAGGAAACCGGGAACACAAGGCATCAAACCATTCAAAACAACAGGACATGACTAGATTATAAGGAAACCGGGAACACAAGGCATTAAGACAAGGCATTAGGACATTTCACTTAACTGAAACCTACTGATAAATCTGACTAATTAGCTTATCCTTGAGCGCTTTCTCTATTTCGTTAAGTGGTTCGGTTTTTCCTAAGAGGTTAGCTAGGACTTGTTTATCCGCTAATTTGTCCTTGTTAGTGAACTCCTTCTGACTTAGAGCAGCCACGGCTTGGAGGTTCTTCATAGCAGCCTCCTGTCTTCGTGGTTCTCTTCACGGTCTTGGATCCTCTCAACTTTGCAGCCTTTGATGCCTTCACACCGATCGGTCTCTCTTCTTCTTGTTCCTCCCTGGGACCGACGTCTCCGGAATCATGTGGCTGTGCTCTTTTGGTCTGCGTTTTGCCTTTATCTCTATTAAGAGAACACCACTTCTGATCGTTTCTAAGAGCTCTTCCACGCATGGTCTAAGATGAAGTTGGTCTTATGATCCTGGTAATAGAACTTGTAAGCCATCTGGAAGATATCATCATCGGATTGGCCGCTTGTAGCTTGACGTCTCGCCTGGTCAAAGCATCCGCAAAACAACTGCACTTCTTTGTTTATTTTCGTCCATCTCTGCTTGCAAGTATTCCACATGCGAGGAGGGAAGTCCTTCACCGCAGTACACCCATGATAGTAGTTGCAAACCCGTTTCCAAAACGCGAGCTTTCTCTTCATTTGCAATGACGCCATCTTTGCTGGTGTTTAACCACGCGGTCACCAGCGCCCCATCTTCTGCGTTTGTCCATCTTCTTCTCGCTTCCCGTGTAGGCAATGGTGAGCTCTCATCTACACCATCAGCGTCATCTGCTGTGGAGCTAGTTTGGGTACTAAAGAGAGGAGTTTGGTCACCGAAGAGAGGTGTCTGTGTACTAAACAGAGGAGTTTGGGTACCAAAGAGAGGTGTTTGGGTACTAAACGAAGGTGATTGGGTACAAAACGGAGGTGTTTGAGGTGTATCGGTTTGGTTCATGAGGTATGTGAAGGATCTAGGAAAGCTCGAGGGACTATTGGAACCCATTTCGTAAACAGAAAATGTTTTTTACTTGACTAAAAGTAGGGTGACCTAGAGGTTTGTTTTAGGGTTAGCGAGATGAGTGAAGAAGAAGCTCACCAAGTTGTGTCTTTATAGGCAAAATTGGGTGTTACTAAAAGCGACAAGACATGAAACCATTTTGAAAGTTTTTTAACTCATTTAACTCTACACTTTAGTGGTTGACATTGCATTTAACTCAACATAAGTAACATACAAGCAAAATTCCTAATCGCTCACAACCTAAATCAGACCTATGAACCAATTAAAAGCAAACAACAACCGCAACCATTAACACCTCTCTACCTAAACCGCAAACAATAACTACAGCCGCAAGCTAATCTATTACACAAAGGCGGAAACCTAACCTTGTACTTTCTCGAGCTGATTTGAGTTGCCATCATCTCCACCAGCTGTCTTCTTCGACGCCATCTCGAGACATGAGGAAAAAGAAGAAAGAATACATGTTAGTTAAAAGAAAAGAGCATTCAAAGCTCTAAGCATTAAGATGTATGCTTTCTAGTTCCGTTGGATTTTTATGAATAATAAAACACAAGAGACACCAGTTTTAAGAATCAATGTCACGCACAAAGCATTCAACCGACATGATACAACAAAACGAATCAATATGAGCTCGCAAACCATTTCGGGAGATTACAATCACGTTTCAGACAGAACATATACTATAACAGTTTCACCCAATTCGATTCACCTCAGATTAAATCAGACAACCACACATGGCAAATCAATTAACATTTCCAGCAAACTCAATTTCCTAAATCACAAATCCGATTTACGTTTTCAAACTACTCAACCACCAAAATTCATTTTATACTGAGTTCGGATAGAGGCCCATACCTGAGAAACTCGCCGAAATTCTAAAAACTCGCTGGAAATCGCCGGAGATCGAACACGAAAAAACGAGAACTGCGAGACGACGAAGAAGGAGAAGAAGAACAGAGGAGAAGAAAAACTGGACGAAGGAGAAGAAGAACTGGACAAAGGAGAAGAAGAACAGAGCAGAAACGGGGTATCGGAGACAGAAATCTCGTGTCGCCGATTTCAGATCGACGAGAAGCGGAGAAAGCGAGGAGTAAAGTGAAATGAAAAAAAAGAAAAAAAATTCGGGACCTTCTACTGCTGATATGTGGCCGGTAGAAATGGTTGTGGGCTGCTTCCGGGAGAGACGATTCTGGAAGTTGAGCTTGCCACATGTGTAATGTTTGGCAATTTTTAATTCTTTAATTATAAGCTAAAGAAACACAGTGAATATGTGCGTTGCACATGCTCTAAGCATCTTGGTAATGCAAAAATTTCTATGTGAAACTTCATTTCATATGCATCCAAAATGACACTAGAAGGAAGACTTACTGAAAACTCAAAATATAGGCTCATATTAAGGTACGGACGTGTATCAAGCAAACGTGTAAGTATGAGACTAAAATTGCTAATACATACTCTAAACATATACAAAACATTCGTTGCAATTAGAACTGCTTTACATGCTTAACCATTTATTCTTAGTTTCTAAAGATGCTTTATAAATTATAATTAACTCATAGTTTAACTATTACAAGAATCATGTATATTAAGCATTATGCATGAATTATGAAAGAAACAAAACTAAACCAACCAACAATTTACTAATTAAGCTTACTCATTGATTTTTCAAGCCAAACATTAGTATGAGGATAGTAAGCAAACAGACAAATTCAAATTATAAAACACAGATTTCTAGTCAAACAATAATGGTGATGAAGCAACGTATGTAATAACATAATAATCAATGATTTTAAATAACAACTATGATTTAACCCGCACAATTGTGCGGGGTAAACTGTTATTATTGGTGGTATACAACGTGCGCGGCAAACGATTTTTAAAAATAGTAAATGAATTAGTATAGTTTTGTTGTTTGCAAGAAGAAATTAGTTAGATTTCAGAAGTTTATAGATTATAATTAGATTTAGGTGGTGAGTGGCATATGAGTTAATAGTTAATGAGATAGAGTTGGTTGTCATAGTTAACAATAGAGTTGATTGCCATATTGACTTTGTAATAATATACTATGTTTTGCATTGTTAAACTAAAGTTGGTAATATACTCTAATCAGCAGTGTTTTGAAAACCGGACCGATCTAGTGGTCGGACCAAATTCAACCATGAATCGGACATGTGACCGGATTGGGTTTCTGGTCTAGTTTATAAACAATTGATATGATAAATTAATTAATTATATGTTAGATTATTTCACAAATTAGGTTTAATTTATTTTTTCTAATTATTATATTTATGTTTATACGTATATATCAACTTTTAACTATTTATAATATGTATTTTAAAATTTCTATATCTAAAAATAAATAAAAAATAAATTATTATGAACCGGGTTCAACCTGGTCGAACCAAATTGAACAATGACCCATATGTTTATCCGGTTCGCCTTCCGGTCCGGTCTTAAAAACATTGCTAATCACTAATCAGTAATCATTGAAATAAAATGTAGAATAATACTAAAATCTGAATGTAAACGAACTTATTAAACTCGTAAAATAAAAAATTTCAAACGGTAAAAATAGATTATTGAACGTGTAAAAGGATCTTATTGAACCCACAAAAGAAAATTATTCAACTTGTCGAAAACATTATCCAATCCGTAAAACATTATTCAACATGTGTCAAAACAATCGTTCAGTGAAATAAACATATTCAAATCGTAAAACAAAATTATTCAGTCCGTTTAACTTATTCAACCCTTAAAATAAAATTATTCAACCCATAAAAGGATATTATTGAACCCACAAAATAAAATTATTCAACCCATAGAAAAATCATTCAATCCGTAAAAAATTATCTAACTTGTGTAAAAAAAAATCAGTAAAATAAACATATTTAACCCGTAAAAAAAATCAATCCGTATAACTTATTCAACACGATTTCAAACCGTAAAAATATATTATTGAACCTGTAAAAGGATCTTATTGAACCCACGAAAGAAAATTATTCAACCTGTCGAAAAATTTATCCAATCCGTAAAACACTATTCAACATGTGTCAAAAGAATTGTTCAGTGAAATAAACATATTCAAATCGTAAAAGAAAACTATTCAGTCCGTTTAACTTATTCAACCCTTAAAATAAAAGTATTCAACCCATAAAAGGATATTATTGAACCTACAAAATCAAATTATTCAACCCATAGAAAAATCATTCAATCCATAAAAAATTATCTAACTTGTGTAAAAAAAACATTTAGTAAAATAAACATATTTAACCCATAAAAGAAAATTATTCAATCCATATAAACTTATTCAACCCATAAAATAGAACTATGAAACCCGTCAAAATGATATTATTGAACCTGTAAACGGATTTTATTGAATCCGCAAAAGAAAATTATTCAACTCATGGAAAATTTTATTCAATCCGTAAAAAATGATCGAATATGTGTTAAAAAATATCATTTGGTGATATAAATATATTCAATATGTAGAACTTATTCAACCTGTAAAATAAAATATTGCACCCCTAAAATAAAATATTCAACCCGTGAAAGGATATTATTGAATCTGCAAAAGACAATTATTCTTCCCTTGATAGAAATTACAAGGGCTGTGTTGTATGGAAGAAGATGACTTCCTTTCACCCAGGTATTTTCTTAATTGTTTTCTAATTCTATCTACTTCTAATTTGAAAATACTTTGTGTAGAGTGTTTGTGTTTATAAAGTGGATTATTTGAATGTGATTCATAGTATCTTTTTCCTAGTTGAAAATAGTTTGTCTAATAATCGTGTCTACATTCATACCGGTTTTCAAAGATGCGATAGAACCTTCATGCTTTTTGGTTCTGTTATTTGGCCTACAGATCAGACCCGAGAACTCAATCTTCACCTGCTTCAGGTAAACACGATTTCAGAAACAGAAGATGAAACCATACATTGTTCTACTGATTTGCTTCTTTTCTATTTGGTATCACCTAAAAACCACACTTGTTTGTTCTCTTAATTATCTTTTGGTGTTAGAGTAAAGTTCCTTTTCTTAAACTAAGAAAAAACCACCTATTCTGTACCTTGTTTATCTCATCAGTTTAATTTTATTGCTGGAGCTTTTGATTATGCGACTTTTAAGGGATTAAACTTGTGCCGTGTTTGATTTAACAGGGAACTTGTGTCGGAATGTATTGGATTCTGTAATCGCTTCATTGCTGGACGATCAAAATTAAAAATTCATTTACGTTGAGATGGTAACATGTTGACTACCTTTTTAGGCATTCTTTTGAAGATGTTGGAGGCAACAAAGCAATGCCAGAAAGGTTAAGGTGAAGATCACAAAGCTTGTTAGACTCTGGTCAATTGGAGTTTATGTGCGTTTGATTGATCTCAACATAAGATTAATGAAAGATGAAAACCATCATTTTGAGAATAAGGTTTGTACACTAACTCCTCTATTTTTCTCTTAAAACACAATTTGCAACTTCAGAAAATAGGTACAAACCAGTAAAACGTCTAAAGCAAATAAGCAAAACTAAACACATCATTATTCTGAATAAACATCTATTCTCCAATCCGTCCCGCTAGATCAAACACAGCTATGGATTGAATAAATGTCCATTCTCCTCGAGGTTGATAATGTTTGACATGTTCTCTCGTCACATCTATATATATCTGTACACCGTCAAAAGAAAATGATATTAGAACAGAGAGATAAAAGTGATATCAGAACATATAGTTTAGTTAGGAACTTTAGAACTGTTAAAAGAGATGATCAGATAACCATACACTTCCAAACTAAAATGTTTGGAAACTTACATCAACGCTGAGTGATTTAGCAATGTTTTCTTGTTTCTTTTCCATTTATTATTTCGCCTACAATCAAAACTAAAAACCGAAGGAAACCTAATACCTTTTGTTTATGGAATCATGAGAATCGTATAGAACTTACCTTTTAATCAGAGCGTATTAACTCCAATTGAATCATCGGTTTGAAGATTAGGTGGCGCTCTCCTGGCTGCTTATGAATCGCATGTCCTGTACTTAAAAACATAAGACGACCATAAGAATACCATTCGCAAAAAAGCATCTATTCTGTTATGCGGTCTAATAAAGGTTTGTTCTTCTCACCTTAGAATAGAAACCAATTCCTTATGAATCTCCTTCACTACTCTTTAGGTTTTTCTTCATTGGGTTGAATAGGTTGCCTGCAAACATGTAATATCTGAACATTCTTAATAAATCTAAATTTAGCACACTGGAATTTAGATTTATAAAAAAGTTTACCTTAAGGCAAACACGTAAGGAGGCATCTTCATTATAACATCCCGGTTTGTGATAAATGAGGAGAGGCTTAAGAGAATTGATTTGGCTACCTATGTCAATAAAGTGCACTTACATTTTCGGTCAAAGGTCTATAAGTAACTCCAGAGTTAAGCGTGCTTGGGCTGGAGTAGTTGAAGGATGGGTGACCTTCCGGGAAGTGGTTTCCGAAACCGTGTGAGTGAGGCCAAAACACGGGGAAAGGTCGGGTGTTGATTGCAGGGATAGTAAACAAGTCATTAGAGCCTCTCAAAAATAACGGACCGGCCGTCGGACAGGGATGAGGCCCACGGGCCGAGATGGGCCTGCGGGTCCAGAGAGAGGGTGTGGGTGACTCACCAGGAGGGGCGGTCGGGGCGTTATATTCATTTCTTTCGTTATATGTCCTTACATAGCTGTCGAAAAAAACATTATATTAAAATTGTGCATATCGAATATTATTGATTGAGAATTGTTTCAACAGGTTAGAGAATTCTTCGTACCCTATTAGCAAATAAAATATGGTTAGAGTATATTTTAGATGTAGTAGTAAATGAAAACATAGTAGATTAATAGAAGAAGAATATAAAACTGACCTCTTGTTTTTGCGAAGATGGTTGAGATTAATTTGCAACATGAACATCACGGAAGCACAAATAGCAATATTAACAACAATACGAAAACAAGAGTGTTACTAAATTCAGTATTGGCAAATGTTTAGTTTAGTGGAATCAATCATGAACCTCAATATCAATATTTGTTTTCCAGAAACATTACGAAAGCAGGTGTATCAATAAGACTAGTTTATTCCATGAAGCATAAACAAGAATAAAACATGACTTTTATAAAACAAGTTTAACGATATAGACTAGGAAGCATTAAAACTTGACTTTCATATAAGGAAACCGGGAACACAAGGCATCAAACCATTTAAAACATTTAAAACAACAGGACATGACTAGATTATAAGGAAACCGGGAACACAAGGCATTAAGACAAGCATTAGGACATTTCACTTAATTGAAACCTACTAATAAATCTGACTAATTAGCCTATCCTTGAGCGCTTTCTCTATTTCGTTAAGTGGTTCGGTTTTTCCTAAGAGGTTAGCTAGGACTTGTTTATCCGCTACTTTGTCCTTGTTACTGAACTCCTTCTCACTTAGAGCAGCCACGGCTTGGAGGTTCTTCATAGCAGCCTCCCTGTCTTCGTTGGTTCTCTTCACGGTCTTGGATCCTCTCAACTTTGCAGCCTTTGATACCTTCACACCGATCGGTCTCGCTTCTTCTTCTTCCTCCCTGGGACCGACGTCTCCGGAATCATGTGGCTGTGCTCTTTTGGTCTGCGTTTTGCCTTTATCTCTATTAAGAGAACACCACTTCTGATCGTTTCTAAGAGCTCTCCACGCATGGTCTAAGATGAAGTTGGTCTTATGATCCTGGTAATAGAACTTGTAAGCCATCTAGAAGATATCATCATCGGATTGGCTGCTTGTAGCTTGACGGCTCGCCTGGTCAAAGCTTCCGCAAAACAACTGCATTTCTTTGTTTATTTTCGTCCATCTCTGCTTGCAAGTATTCCATAGGCGAGGAGGGAAGTCCTTCACCGCAGTACACCCATGATAGTAGTTGGAAACCCGTTTCCAAAACGCGACAGCTTTCTGTTCATTTGCAATGACGCCCTCTTTGCTGGTGTTTAACCACGCGGTCACCAGCGCCCCATCTTCTGCGTTTGTCCATCTTCTTCTCGCTTCCCGTGTAGGCAATGGTGAGCTCGCATCTACACCATCAGCGTCATCTGCTGTGGAGCTAGTTTGGGCACTAAAGAGAGGAGTTTGGTCACCAAAGAGAGGTGTATGTATACTAAACAGAGGAGTTTGGGTACCAAAGAGAGGAGTTTGGGTACCAAAGAGAGGTGTTTGGGTACTAAACAAAGGTGATTGGGTACAAAACGGAGGTGTTTGAGGTGTATCGGTTTGGTTCATGAGGTATGTGAAGGATCTAGGAAAGCTCGAGGGACTATTGGAACCCATTTCGTAAACAGAAAATGTTTTTTACTTGACTAAAAGTTGGGTGACCTAGAGGTTTGTTTTAGGGTTAGCGAGATGAGTGAAGAAGAAGCTCACCAAGTTGTGTCTTTATAGGCAAAATTGGGTGTTACTAAAAGCGACAAGACATGAAACCATTTATGAAAGTTTTTTAACTCATTTAACTCAACACTTTAGTGGTTGACATTGCATTTAACTCAACATAAAGCAACATACAAGCAAAATTCCTAATTGTGAGCAACCTAAATCAGACCTAAGAACCAATTAAAAGTAAACAACAACCGCAACCATTAACACCTCTCTACCTAAACCGCAAACAATAACTACAGCCGCAAGCTAATCTATTACACAAAGGCGGAAACCTATCTTGTACTTTCACGAGCTGATTTAAGTTGCCATCATCTCCACCAGCTTTCTTGTTCGACGCCATCTTGAGACATGAGGAAAAAGAAGAAAGAATACATGTTAGTTCAAAGAAATGAGCATTCAAAGCTCTAAGCATGATAGTAGTTGCAAACCTGTTTCCAAAACGCGACAGCTTTCTGTTCATTTGCAATGACGCCATCTTTGCTGGTATTTAACCACGCGGTCACCAGCGCCCCCATCTTCTGCGTTTGTCCATCTTCTTCTCGCTTCCCGTGTAGGCAATGGTGAGATCTCATCTACACCATCAGCGTCATCTGCTGTGGAGCTAATTTGGGTACTAAAGAGAGGAGTTTGGTCACCGAAGAGAGGTGTCTTTTGAATTGATTGGTCAATAGCTCTTCAATTTTGTCCGGTTTAGTGGTTATCTTTCTCGTCAATTTTTTTCCGGTTTAATTTAAGTAGAAGTAGATCCGCGTGTTTTTCCGTGGGTCAATCGGGTCGGATTTTTTTACTGATCTGAGTCAACTCAGTGCACTCGGAACTTTTAACTCGGAATTTCCCCTGCTAATCTTGTTTCCAAACACTTTTTGGTCATAAATGCAGTGGCATTTTTCGTAATAAAAAGGTTTTTTTCGGGTATCTCTAAAAAGTGACGTCTAAAATAATATAGTAGAGATGGTGCTCAAGAAACATAATAACATATTATGGGTCAAGGTAATGAATGACTTGGAAGTCAAACAATAAAGCATATTATACGAAGAAGCACAATTTATTTGATAGGTCATATATGTCTTAATAAAGCACTGCAATAGATCTATAATAAAATAATGGCCTTGAATGGAAGCTCAGAACAAATGCAGATTAAATACAAATTAGATCAGATACACAATCACAATTTTAATGCAGGAGAATTTTTTTGATCTGTATCCAGATCAAAAATCAGTTAAAAAAATAAAGTGTGTATAAAAGGTGGAAAAAGCACCATGTACAGATCAATGGGCCCCACAGATTAATGATTACTTTATACTTATTTTTTTATATTTTTTATTCTTTTTTAATTACTTATTAATATCAAATTCCATAGTGGAAGTGGGACAGGATTACGATGGATTTCGTGGTTGGACTACCTGTTTCGAGGACTTTCGATGCTATTGGGTGATTGTGGATCGGTTGACTAAGTCCGCACATTTCTTGGCCATCAAGAAGACAGATGGAGCTGCTGTCTTGGCTAGGAAGTTTGTGCGAGAGATTGTGAGGCTGCATGGAGTGCCAGCTAGTATTGTGTCAGACCGTGATCCCAGATTCACTTCAGAGTTTTGGAGAGCGTTTCAGGCAGAGATGGGCACTAAGGTGCATCTGAGTACAGCTTATCATCCGCAGACAGATGGTCAGTCAGAGAGGACTATTCAGACTTTGGAGGATTTGCTGAGGATGTGTGTGTTGGATTGGGGTGGCCATTGGGCAGATCACCTGAGCTTAGTTGAGTTTGCATACAACAACAGCTTTCAGGCGAGTATTGGCATGGCTCCATTTGAGGCTTTGTATGGGAGGCCATGTAGGACACCCCTATGCTGGACCCAAGTGGGGGAGCGCAGCATGTATGGAGCTACTTATGTTCAGGAGACGACAGAGAAGGTTCGTGTTGTGAGGCTGAACATGAAGGAGGCTCAGGATAGGCAGAAGAGTTATGCAGATAGACGCAGACGAGAGCTTGAGTTTCAGGTTGGAGATAGAGTTTATCTCAAGATGGCTATGTTGAGGGGTCCTAACAGATCCATAGCAGAGAACAAGCTGAGTCCGCGTTTTATGGGTCCGTTTCCAGTAGTGGAGCGAGTTGGGCCATTGGCTTACAGGCTGGAGTTGCCTGAGATTATGAAAGCCTTTCACAAGGTTTTTCATGTGTCGATGCTGAGGAAGTGTCTTCACCCTACAGAGGAGTTAGTGGCTAGGATTCCAGAGGATCTTCAGCCAGATTTGACAGTGCCGGCAGTGCCTGTGAGGATTTTAGAGAGGAGGGAAAAGGTTCTGAGGAACAAGAGGATTCCCTTACTGAGGATTTTGTGGGATTGCAGTGGTTCTACAGAGGAGACTTGGGAGCCAGAGGCAAAGATGAAGTTGAAGTTCAGGAAGTGGTTCGACAAGCAGGTCGAGGAGTGAGCTTATTTCATCTTTGTAGCCTCAGTTGTTATTTTTGGCTTTGGTGTTATTGTATTTTCGTTTTGGTTGTAACGATATACATTTTGGAGTTTTAATGAGATGCAGTTTTTCCTCATTTTGCCTTGTGTTGTTTAAGTGGTATTCGGATGTTACAAGTGTTTGACCAGTTGGTCGTGAGACGGTTCTAATTCTATTGTTATAGACATCTTGGAATTTTTACTCTAAGGATTGCGATCCTGAATAACTCATTACGTTTTGGAGACAGTGGTTCTCTGGCAGACTCATCTGAGTGTAGTGGCCTCAGTATGAGTGACTTAGCTGAGTGTAGTGGCCTCAGTATAAGTCGTGGCTTTATTTGGGTGTAGTGGCCCCAGTATAAGCAGCGGTTGGCAAGCCCCTGGGTGTAGTGGCCCCAGTTTGGGTAGGTGCAGACTTGTCTGGGTGTAGTGGCCCAGTACAAGTTGTTTGGAGGTGATGAGTTAAGAGTAAAGATGTCTAGAGACGGGCGTATGACATAAGATTAGATGAGTGTCTCGGGGATCAGGTGAGGATCTCCAGTGTTGCGGCCTTGCGAGGTCGGGTTTTGTGGTCTTTGTGACGTTTGTGTTGGGATTCGAGGTCGAATCCAGTTTAGTGGGGGAGAGTTGTAACATCCGTAAACAGAATTGTCAATTGAGGAAGTGTCGAGCGACACAAGGAAGTGTGTCGGTCGACACAGCGATTTTGAAATCAAACCCGGTTTGATTTGAGTGACCGGTTTAGTTGTTTGGGTTGGAAAACCCTCGTTTCGAGTTTAAAACTCGAGCAGCCGCCTGTCTTCTCCTTTTGTCGTTTAGCGGACGAAAGTTGAGAAGAGAAGAGATCTTGAGGCGATTTCCGGCGTTTGAGGGATCGATTGAAGCTGTTCGTCGTTGATTTGGGGCTTGGGCTCGTGTGTGGTGGCTGCTGCGCGGTGGTTCGTCGTGTTCTTCGTCGTCATTGCTACAGTTCACCTCCTTCCTTTAATTTTTCCTCTTTTCAATCTGAAATCAAGGTGAGTGCATGACTGTGGGTCCGTGATTGCTAGATTCAGAATTATGTGCGTGATTGTGTGTGATTTTTGATGATATGGTTGTGTTTCATTGTTGATTTGAGTTGTTCGTTGATTTCCTGTGAATTTCCTGTGTTCGAAGTACTGTTCATAGCTCGATCTGTGAAATCCGTGTCGAGCGACACAAAGCGTGTCGGTCGACACCAGAAGGTTTGTGTCGAGCGACACAAAGCGTGTGTCGGTCGACAAAGACCGGTTAATTCCGGTTTAAATCGATTTAGTCTTGTTTAATGGATTGATTTAATTGGTTAAATGGTTTAATTTGGTTATTGATAAATTCGGATTTCAATTAATTAATGGGAGTTTTAATTAATTAAATTATTTAAAATAATCATGGAAAATTATTATCTAATTATTAAGAATTATTTAATAATTGGAAAATGGTGTTTAATAATTATTGGAGTTTATAAATATTATTAAATATCTAGTAATTGCGTAAATGGCCTGTAGGGAGAGTGATTGCCTCACTAATTATTTATTAAATATTTATGCAACTCCATTCCAATGTGTTGCAGGTAAAAGATTTGTGTGATCGCGGAATCGAGTCTGAAGAGGGGATGATAGAATGTTATTGCTTTTATTTATTTTGCATTGTTTTGTTATACTTGTATAATTGTTTATTTGCTTCCGCTGAACTGAATTTATTTGTTATTTGAATTATTTATTTAATTTATTTTTTTAAGAACCTTTGCTAGAATTGTTTAGTAATTAAAAAAAAATGTTAGTTGTTTCATAATGTGCTTTGGTTTTTTAAATACTTACACAAGTTGGTACTTACAAGGAGAGGGAGGATATATGTGTCACACATACTGCAAAACTACATTCTGATATTGCTCAAGTTGAATTGGTTTCAACTATCAATTTCTTGAATGATCTTTTTCTAATAGTGATACGAATATGCATGGTGGTAATGAATCTGGATCAGTTCACCCTATGGGTACTGATAGGTCATCCACTTCAAGTGGAAATTGTGGAAAGGGAAGATTTTGATGAGTTGTTTGCTGATTTTAATCAAGAGCTATATACACGATGCACTAAGTTCACGAAGTTGTCCTTTTTATTGAAACTATACCATATCAAATGCATGTGCAGGATTAGTGACAAGGGAATATCTATGGTGCTTGATTTGCTGAAAGAAGCATTTACACATGCCTGCCAAATGCCTTTAATGACATGAAAAAGGTTATTTGCAAATTGGGATTGAACTATAAGTCAATTCATGCATGTCCAAATGATTGCATGTTATATTGGGAGGGAGATGCATAAAGGGAGGTTTGCAAAGTTTGTGAAGCTTCTCGCTGGCAAGTTTTTAAAAAGAGTATAATATCTGGATAAATTAAAAAATATAACAAAGAAAGCTCCTGCAAAGGTTTTGCGTTATTTTCCTCTAAAACCATGGCTGCAATGTTTATTCATGTCATCAAAAACTGCTAGACACATGACATGGCATGCGATTGCTAGTAACAGTGATGGTAAGCTTCGACATCCAAGAGACGGATTGGCTTGGAAGGCATTCGATCAAAAATATCCTGAATTTGCATCTGATCCCAGAAATGTCAAACTAGGTGATGTACTTGCATTTTTAGTTTTAGTACATCTTTTATGCATTTTTTGCATAGTTTTAGCATTCATTAGCATCATATCTTCTTCCTTCTCCTTTCTTATGCATACATTGTAGTTTTAGGTTGCATTTGCATACATAAGAATGTTTGATGCTTAAACAGGTCTATTTGGAGCGCAATGGGGCACTTGGGACGTGAGGAGCAAGGAAGGACATTACGCTTGGAGCTCAACTCGACCGCGCATGCTCCAGGAGAGAAAAGAAGCTGTCTGTAGCCAGCTCGACCGGCCAAGACTCAGCTCGATCGAGCTGCTTTTCCAGGAGTCAAAGTCAAACCCGAAAAATGTTGCTTCCCTTTGACTCCCCTTTGATCCTAAACCTAATCCATCTCCTATTTAAGGGCTTGTAGCTACGAAAAATTAGACTCTCCTTTAGCTTAATCTTGTTTTGCTTTTGCTTTAATTTTTGTAATTTACTTTTCCCAAAAACCTTAGCCTCTCTTTGTGTTCTTGAGCTCTTGCTCTTAACCTTAGTTCTAGGCTCTATCATTGTATTTTTGCACTTGCTTATTTCAATAAAAGTTCTTTAGTTTCATTTCCTCTTTCCCTTAATGTCTCCTTTATTGCATTTGGTCATGTTTTTCGTTATGATTAATGAGTAGTTCCCTTTAGGGTTTAAGATGGGATAGGCTAGAGGTTGTTTATGCTTAACCTCTCTTGCTTTATGTTCTTAACTTAAAATTTCTCTCTTTTAGACAAGGCTTAAGGCTGCACAACCACTGACTATGGTGTGTATGAATCTAAGCGATTTTCCTCATGGGAATGTTGGGAAATCACTTGAAAATGTCCACTAAGAGCTCCAATATGCTTGCCTCTCGAAAAGGGGTTTATAGGTGTTGGATGGGTTAGTTTGAGCAATGATCCTACTACCTCCAAGGCTTGATCTCACTGGCTGACCCCCTGTTTCTGAGATCCTGCCTTGGATGATAGCTTTCACCTTGGGAAAGGCTAGAGAAGCTCAATATCAAGAGATAGCTTGAGTACAAGTTGTTTAAGAGCAAGACTGATTAAGTATAGCCTCCCTTTAGCTGCAAAACCCTGTCTTTAGCCCTAATCTTTAGATTAGCATCTTAAAGTTTGCACCTTTATCGCTTTACATTGCATTTCCTCTGTTTTTACACCAATTCGACCCCCAACTAGCTGCTTTTATTTCCTGCTTTTGCTTGCATTTCATTTCATATTAGGTCGTTAGAGTTACATTCAACTCCCTTTTAATATTTGCTTGACTTTCTTGTGTTTGCATATTCTCATAGAGTAACAACTCACCCTTATGGATTGATAACCTCTTATACTACATTGACTATGATGTTAAAGAGGAATTGATTGATTGTGATTGCACCATACCATCTCATTCCACCCTTCACTTGCATCCATCATCATATCATACCATCACCCATACTTTCATCGCATATCACATTAAAATCCTTTCATCAATTTGGCGCCGTTACCATTTGAGTTTGATTATTGTTGCATTTGAATTTCCAAATCACTTGAACGATCAAGCACTATCCCTAATCCTCCTTTATCTCTCATTGCAATTCGCCTCTTTCAATTTTGCTTGCATGTGTTCTCTATGAGTTTGTTCTTGAGTATTTGCATTCATATTCATCTTATGTTTAGAGAAACTCATGAACCTGCCTCACCTCACCTTTGTTTTATCACTAATATTGTTGCATGTGCTTAAATCCTTGAATTTGAGTTTGGTATTGGCTAGGATGCTTTAATCTTCACTAGTATTGTTTATTGTTCCAAGTTCTTAATGTTCTTAGATCAATTTGAGTGTTTAGCATCCTATCCTGCTCTTAATACTTGATTTAGATTCGGTTTGCTCTGTTTTTACCTAGCTCGATCGAGTTTGTTACCCTAATTTTTTTTTTTGACTCGATCGAGTTGGGTGTGGAGTTGACCGAATCGATCATTACAATTCTATTTCTTTGAACCTTTGATGAATTTTAGGGAATCTACTTTGAGAAGCAACAAGGTTAAGATGTTAAGAGTTGAAGGAAGCCATGCAACTGTTGGAAAGAAAGAAAGAGCAAGGGGGCAAGAAGAATACTAGAGGGGATGAGTGAATCGGATAGGGAAGACATTGAGAGATTCAGGGAGGAACAGAGGAGGAAGCAGAGAGAAGAGTCATTGAGCAGTGAGAGCGAGCTTGGCAACTTTGAGATTGGGGTGAATGTTGGAAGAGAAGAGAATGATGATTCTCAAGGGGAACAAGAGGATGAGGTTGAGGAAGTGGCTGATGAGCCAATGGAAGAGAAGGAAGAAGATAATGACCTCCCCATGTTCCAAGAGCACTATGATGCTCTCTTCTCTATGGATTTTGTGAAAACCAAGTACCCTCATGACAAGACCATGAAAGCGCTTGGGATGACCAAGGATGTGGAGTTGGTGCTCAATAACATGCACTTGGCCAAGTTCTTCTCTCATAGGATGGAGTCTTACAAGGAGCTGACTTGTGAGTTCCTTGCATCATTGAGATACTACAAGTATGATGAGGAAGATAGAGCCGATTTGGATCAAGGATTGGGGTGGATCACGTTTTTGGCACTTGGAGTTAAGAGAATGGTCACTTTTAGGCAGCTAGAGATCTTATTTGGCTTCAACTATGGGGAAAGCACTCAATGGAGGTTCACTGAAAGAGAGCTCCAAAGTGTTTGGGCTACAATCTCTGAAGGAGAGTACTCTTCCTCAAGGTCCAAGGCCGCTCAGATTAGGAGTCCAGTGCTGAGGGTATGTGCACAAGGCGCTTGCCAACTCTTTCTTTGCAAGGAAGGCAACAGGCACTATCAATGAAGGAGAGCTCAAGCTACTTGACATGGGGATCAAGCCCATCCTCTCCCACACAAGAGATGGAAGGAGGATCAGGGGAGACAAATCCGACACAGGGAACCTCATGCACTTCCTTGATCAACTCCTCACCTACAAGATCACAGCCTATAGCACTCGATTTCAACAAGGGAGGAAGCTGAGCGTTGGAGGGCTCATCACGCTGATTCTTTGCGCAAATGGCGTAAATCCAGACTCCAAGAACGCCACTCCACCTGGTTGGATGGTCATCAAGTTCTGCAAAACCAACACTCTCATCGATCACAAGGAGATGAATGGGAAGTATCAATTCATCTTCAAACATCCCACAGCTGGTGCTTCCAAGATCCTCCTGCCCAACCCTGAGCTCACAACAGTTAGAGGAGGTAAAAACATTGACTTTTTCCCTCCACCTCACACCTTAGTTGGGCATGAGGATGAGATGCGAGAAGAGGAGCCTGAACTCGATCGAGCTGAGGATCGAGTGCTTGTCAATGAGGAGTTAGGAGAGCCAGATTGCTATTATTTTGAGGAGTATGAAGCTCCAAGGATGAACCCCTCTGTTGTGGCTGCTCACAAGAGGATTGGACTTCTCCAAAAGTTCAACAAGTGGCAACGGAAAGCCATGAAGAAGATGCAAAATTCCATGGATAAGATGGTGAGTAAATCTAGAGTTTGGAGAAGAAAGTCACTGGTTCTTCATCTAAGAAGAACAAGGCACCTCTCACCTCTCCCTTCCCTAGGAGCCGATCCCTTCTCACCACACCAAGAAGACTCCCAGCCCAAGACCCTCCCAGAGCCTCATCATATGAGCCAAGAGAAGCAGGAGGCAGCAAACATAAGAGAAGCAAGAGTTCAAGAGCTCGACGCTCCAACTCGACCAGTGGACTCGATCGAGTCCAAACAGAGGGAACTCAACTCGGTCGAGCTGATGGTCGAGTTGACCTAGAGGAACCAGGATTCGAGAACCCTGGGTTTGAGTATGACCCCGCGCCTTACCAGGACTATCATCAGAGCAGCTGGAACCCTTACAACCGGTTTGAGATGGCCAGGTTCCACCAAGGCCAAGAAAGCCACACACACTTTGAAGATGAAGAGGAGGAGCCGCAAGCTCGATCGATTTGCTCCGAGATTGTCCCTTGGACCGCTCCAGATGGTCGCCTGCCTTCACCGCCACAAGACCCTGCTTCCCAGTTCTTTGTAAATACACTTCCCCTTGTAAATACCATTTCATTTTTTATGTATTTTTCTTGGTTTTTCTTGGTTTTTGCCTCTTGAATCCTTCATTAAATTTCTCTACACAAGAGACTGTGTGATTTAAGTTTGGGGAGGGTTCAAGAGATGATTTAACCTTGTTTATTATGTTCTTAGTTTTTCATTCATCTATTTGCATAGAAAAACACAAAAAAAATCATAAAATTTTCAAAATCCAAAAATATTTTCATCTTTTTGCATTCATGCTTGTTAGAATTGTTTAGGATTGCATCATTCACCTCTGTTTTTATTGTGCATTGTTGATTTGACTTGAGAACTTGTTCATCATTTGCGATTTGTTGAGTGCCCTATTTCTAGATTCTTTTGTGCATTAGGGTGAGATTGATTGAACAACAAGGAACTATGTTTAACTTGATCATATCGCTGCATGCACATCTCATTTAACCATTGCTGTGATTTGATGCATTTCCCTATCTATTTGAACCATAACTTGATCTTTAATTACCAATGCTTGCATTTGATTTCAACTCATGGATACCACATACATATCTAGACATTCTTTGCCTATTTCTTATCCCTCTTGCTTGTCCAGATAGCTGATCTCCATCTTTGAGACAATTACCCCAGCTTAAACCTAAGTCTTTTTCATTTCAAACCCCCTTGTTATCTCTTGTGCAAATTGTGAGACCTTTTCTTGGCTATGTGATGTACTTGCATTTTACATAGTTTTAGTACATCTTTTATGCATCTTTTGCATAGTTTTAGCATCCATTAGCATCATATCTTCTTCCATTTCTCTCTTTATGCATTTATGGTAGTTTTAGGTTGCATTTGCATACATATGCATGTTTGGTCCTTTGAAATAGGTCTTTTGGAGCATTATGGAGCATATGGGACGTGAGGAGCAAGGAGGGACTTGATGCATGGACGCAGCTCAACTGGACACACAAAGGAAGGAGGAGGAAGCCACCTTGAAGACCAGCTCGACCACCTACTCGACCATCCAGTCGAGTTCCTTAACTCGACCGGCCAAGTTCAACTCGATCGAGCTGAGAAGTCAAAGTCAAACCCTAAAAATGTTGCTTCCCCCTTGACTTTCCTTTGACCCTAAACCTAAATCCTCTTGTATTAAAAGGCTCTTAGCCACGAAAAAACCACCAAGCTTTAGATTACTTTTGTTTTAGCTTTCTTTTAATTATTGTCTTTTACTTTTTAGAGCTCTTAATCCAATCTTTGTGTTCTTGAAGCACTACAAAAAAAAGTGATTATTCTTACAAAAAATTTGTGACCAATCGTTTAGTCATAATATTATGACCATTTATATACCATAATGTGACGAAATTATTTGGTTATAAAAGCGTAAGCATTTCGTTATAATATTGTGACAGAAATAAAAATAACAAATTTTTGTCACAAATTGTGTCAAAATTGTTATGAAATATAAGGTAAGAAATGTGGTTACGGTTTTGTGCCTGAATCTTGTAACTAAATTATTACAATTTTGGTAACAAAACTTCTGTCACTCATAGTTACAAAATTTATGTAAGTATCTTGTCACATTTAGCTACTGTTTTCGTAACTGTTGTGTTAGGTCATACTTAATGACATAATTGTTATTACTTTGTGACAATATTAAAAAAAATCATGATTTTAAAATTTCAGTAATTATTATTTTTATTCACTTTTCTTCTTCCTTAATTGTTGTTCTCATCTCTTAAAATAAGAAAACCTGAAAAAATAAAACTCGTTTTACATAAACACATTCCGAAACATTTACTTGTCTAGGAAAACATTTAAGCTTTTGCTTCTTGAATCCTAGATCCTGGATAATCTCTTTTGTATTTGCACTTGCTTATTTCAATAAAAGTTGTTTATCTTTATCTCCTCTTTCATTTGATGTTTATTTCATTGCATTTGCTTGTGTTTACATTCATGTGTAGTGAGTAGTTACCCATTAGGGTTTGAGATGGGATAGATTAGGGGTTTCATATGCTTAATCCTTCTTGCTTATGGTCTTAATCTAGATTCTCTCTCTTTTGGATAAATCTTAAGGCTACATGACCACTACCCCTGGCTTGTATGTCATTAGGCGATTCTCCACATGGAAGTGATGGAAATCGCTGGAAAATATCCACTAAGAGCTCCAATAACTCTTGCTCTCGAAATGGAGTTCATAGGGGTTGGATGGATTAGTTTGGGCAATGATCCTATGGCCTCCAAGGTTTGATTCTCACTGGCTAACCCCCTGTTTCTGAGATCATTCCTTGGTTGATAGCCTTCACCTTGGGAAAGGGTTGCTAGGCATTGAGAAGCCCAATATCAAGAGAAGCCTTGATACAAGGAGTTTTAAGAGCAGATCGATTAAGTGTAGCTTCCCCTGTTGAAAACCCTGTCTTGAACCCTAATTCTCGCATTAGCTTGTTAAAGTCGCTGCCTTTATTGCTTTTTACTCAACTCGACCCTAAACTCGATCGAGCTCGGTACTCTGTTCCACTCGACTCGAGTCCTTGGTCGAGCTGCTGCTTTACTGCTTTTCTTTCTATTACTGCATTGCATTTCATTTTTAGGTTGTTAGTGTTACCCCATATCATTTACTGCTTGCTTGACTTCCTGGTTATTTCATATTCTCATAGAGTGACAACTTCCCATTTTGGATTGATACCCTTTATGCTATAATGACTATCATGGTTAAAGGGAATTGTTGACTGTGTTTGTGTTTGCATCTTACCACCTCATCATATACCACTGTTGCATTCCACCACATCTCATTTCATATCTTTCACACCCACACACAAATCCTATCATCACTATGCTTAGTATAAGTGTTGTGTTTAAACCGGCAGGGGCAGTAGTTCTAGTTGTCTAGTTCTCTTGGGATTGTTTTCAGGCTAAGTTTGGGGGTGCCAACTCGAGCTCGATCGAGTTGGGTGTAAAAACCAGAAAAGTGGTAAAAGTTGGGAAAAACCAAAGGAAAAAGAGTTTAGTTAAGTCCAGGGAGTTGGCAGTGTTAAAAAGGGTCTAGTAAAGGTTTGGGAAGTTAAAAAAGAAAGTAAAAAAGGGTTCTAAGTAGAATGAAAAGAAGGCAAAGCCTCAAGTGTCAAAAAGAAAAGAAAAGTTCCCTAAGTGTTTAGAAAATCCCAAACCGCTAGATGTTACCTCAAGAAGCCTCTCCCTAGGAAGTTCTTAAAAGAAAAGTGAGCAAAGCTCCTCAGTTTCAAAGGCGAAATGCCAAAAAGGGTAGTTAGGATTTTGTTCTAAAAAGCTCTAAGTGTTGAACTCGATCGAGTTAGGATTAGGCGGCTCGAGCTGCTGTTCTTGCATCATCTTTGGTTCTAACACTTAGCCTTCTGCCAAAGCAAAGCCACTTTCTTGAGAGATCCCTGTTACTAAACCACCATACAAAAGAGACCCTCTTTGTCTCTTAACCCATAAACCCTTGAAACCAAATGAGTTGATTGATCTTGCATGTTTTTGGTTCACTGTTTTTGCTTAATGAATGTTAAAGGGATTTGCTGATTTGAATGCATTGTTTGAGTGACTGTGAAGTGGGATTGATGTTGATAAGCATGGTTAAATCTTAATGAATATCTCTCACCTTGTTGCATTCTAGAATCTCTAAGTTGGACATTTAGCAAATCGCTTTTGAGGACATGTTTTTAAGTGTTGAATCAGCTTGTTTTCAAACCTCATCTCTTTCTTGTTCTATTTGTTTGCTTGAGGGCAAGCAAAGTTCAAGTTTGGGGGTGTTGATGTACTTGCATTTTACATAGTTTTAGTACATCTTTTATGCATCTTTTGCATAGTTTTAGCATCCATTAGCATCATATCTTGTTCCTTTTCTCTTCTTATGCATTCATGTAGTTTTAGGTTGCATTTGCATACATATGCATGTTTGGTCCTTTGAAATAGGTCTTTTGGAGCATTCTGGAGCATATGGGACGTGAGGAGCATGGAGGACTTGGCATGGACAGCTCAACGCATGCAAAGGAGAAGAAGGAAGCCATCTTGAAGACCAGCTCGACCATCTACTCGACCAACCGGTCGAGTTCCTCAACTCGACCGGCCAAGCTTCAACTCGATCGAGCTGAGAAGTCAAAGTCAAACCCGAAAAATGTTGCTTCCCCCTTGACTTCCTTTGACCCTAAACCTAATCCTCTTTGTATTTAAAGGCTCTAAGCCACGAAAAAACCACCAAGCTTTAGATTATTTTGTTTTAGCTTTCTTTAATTTTTGTCTTTTACTTTTTAGAAAATCCCATCTTTGTGTTCTTGAAGCTCTTGCTTCTTGAATCCTTAGATCCTGGATATCTTTTTGTATTTGCACTTGCTTATTTCAATAAAAGTTGTTTATTTCATCTCCTCTTTCTTATGATGTCTCTTTTATTGCATTTGCTTGTGTTTACATTCATGTGTAGTGAGTAGTTACCCATTAGGGTTTGAGATGGGATAGATTAGAGGTTTCATATGCTTAATCCTTCTAGCTTATGGTCTTAATCTAGATTCTCTCTCTTTTGGATAATCTTAAGGCTACATGACCACTACCCCTGGCTTGTAAGTCCTTAGGCGATCCCCATGGAAGTGATGGCAAATCGCTGGAAAAGATCCACTAAGAGCTCCAATATCTCTTGCTCTAGAAATGAGGTCTAAGGGGTTGGATGGATTAGTTTGGGCAATGATCCTATGCCTCCAAGGCTTGATTCTCACTGGCTAACCCCCTGTTTCTGAGATCATTCCTTGGTTGATAGCTTTCACCTTGGGAAAGGGTTAGCTAGGCTTGAGAAGCTCAATATCAAGAGATACCTTGATACAAGTGGTTAATGAGCAAGATTGATTAAGTATAGCTTCCCCTAGTCGCAAGACCCTGTCTTAGACCCTAACCTTCGTATTATTGTATTAAAGTTTGCATCTTTATCGCTTTTCTTCTGTTTTTACTTCAAGTCGAGTGATAGGTGTAAAGTTCTCCCTAAAAATAACTGCAAGTGCACAGCAATTCAGTCGTAGTAAATAGGGTTATCGAATCCAAACGTCTATCAGTTGCACAACGAATTTCCAGATTCAAATCAGGCTAAGTAAGATATGAGTAATGTAAAGCAAATAAAAGAAAACAAAGCAGCAGGTGATTGATTAACGAGGTTAAATTCAATGAGACAAAGGTTAGGCCTTGGGAAACTCGCAGGTTGAATCCGAATTGCAGAGTAAATATCAGGATATTAATGAAGAACCATTCTAGAACTCAAATCACAATTATAAAACCAATCAACTTTCGTTGCAGAGATTATCTATGTCTAAACTTAGAATCCCAAATTTCTTTGCAAATTCAACAATTCAAACAAGCATTAATGATCAGGTTTGATAAGTTCACAAAATCTCTAAACCAAATTCCTTTGCAGATAGATATTTTGCTCATCTAAGATAGTTCAGGAAATCAATAACACTTTCGTGTCTACCAATTAACCTAAGATCAGATTCTAGGTCGCGAAGCTAGAATAAGCAATAAACACAATCCAGATGAAGAACTCTAATGATTATCCTAAGCAATTGCAATTCTTCTTCAACCTTTGAAAAACCCTAAACCTAACAAGGAATCTACTCAGACATGGTGATTGAAGCAAACATCATGAAATAAATAGATTGCATAAAAGAAATAAGAATAGAGATAAAGGAGTTCAAAATCTTCTCTGAAGGAGTTTTATCTATCTCTCCAAAGCTCTGCTAAAAATCTCTCTCTAAGTCTCAATAGAATATAAGATAATGATTAAAAAATAGCCTAACAATGGCTTTTAAAAACCTAAAAACACGAATTGGGCCTTCTTGTAAATAAGTGGAACTTCTGGGCTAAAGTGCAGATCTTCAAAAGTCTTTAAAATAGAACTCTGCGTTTCTGGGAAAAGGGGGTGTCGACCGACACAGATGGATGGTGTCGGTCGACACCAGTCTCTGAGAACGATCCTTTGTCTTGTTTTCCAGCTGTTCCCAAATATGCTCCAAATAGCTCCATTATCTCCAATTGTGCTCCAAAACATGCTTAGACCTGTATAGACTCAAAAAGACTCCAAAAACACTAAAAAGACTCTATATACAAGACTTATATCATGGCAAAAACCCATAAAAACCATGATATATCAACTCCCCCAGACTTAGCTTTTGCTTGCCCTCAAGCAAAACAAATAACTAAACTGTGAAAGAGGTTTGAAAACAAGGCAGTTCAAAGAGTCAATGCATTGTGAGTTTGTTCTACTTTAAAAACTTTAGCCACACTCATCACAACATGAAGTAGATTCCAACTCAACCTATATATGCATTCAAATCAACCATTCCTTTTAACATTCAATTAAAGAGTAACCATGGATCAAGTTCATGCAATCAAGTGAAATCATTTAGCTAGGGACAAGGTTAAGAGACAATAATGATCTCTTTCATCCAGGTTTAAGCAATCAAATAAGGGATCTCTCAAGAAGTGAATGAGCTTTGGCAAAATGCTAAGGGTAAAGATCAATTTATGCATACAAGGATAAATTTTCATCTACCCAAGTAACTTCAAATTTCCACAATACAATCCCATAATTGATCCTAAGCTACCATTAAAGCACTTTCTCTTCATAAACAACTCTTCATACATTCACTTTCTTTTCTTTTTGAACTTAAGGAGAAGATTCAACTTTTGATTCCCAAGTGGTTTTGGTCTAAAAACTCTGCTTTGACTATGTTTTCTTCTTCTATTTTTTTTTTCTTTTTTTTTTCGGAACTTTTTTTTTTTTTTTTTTTTTTTTTTTCAAGAGTCAAAGAGAGAAAACAATATATACAAACCAAGTAACCACTTCTAATTTCTTCTCCTTAGTTCTCTTTTCCATTAAGCACAAATCCAAATCCCAAATCCCTAACCTAGTCTAACTCAAAAAGGGTGAGCTAGTTCTACATGAAAACATATCCTTGTCGTCTAAACCCAACACTTTTTGCTAAGCTCATTCAGAAAATAGGCCTCACATCACTCACTAAGCATTGGCTTGAAAGAAGGCTTGGTTCAGGGTGGGATTAACTGTCTCAAAAATGGAGATCAGCTACTTGGACTAACAAGAGTGGTAAAAAGGAATAAGAGAGCCCAAGTATGTATATGGTATCCATGAAAACACTTTCAATGCATGAACATGATAATTGCAAGTCAGATTATGGTTCTAATAAGTAAGGAATGGTGTCAAATCAAAGTTGTAAAAACCAATTATGGATACTATCAATGAATTCCAAGTGTGGTGCTATCTTAACTTCAAACTCACTCTAATGCATCAAACAACTTTGAACTACCAAACAATTTTGACTCAATAAAACAAATTTTCAAAAACTAAAAACCAAAAGACTCAAACATGTACACAATATCAGTAATCACCTCCCCCAGACTTGAACAACACTGTCCCCAGTGTTATCTAGTCTGAAATTGGTTAAAAAAAATAATAAACTGACTCAATTAAGAAAAAAAGAAAACTTACCTTCCTGCAGAACTAGTATCGGTCGACACAAACAAATGGTGTCGACTCCGCGGATTTGTGTCGCTCGATTTTCCTCCGTCTCGTCGTTGCGTGTTGGTGTCGGGCGACACCACATATGGTGTCGGTCGACACTAGCAATTTTTTTTTTTTTTTTTTTTTTTCAGAAAAGCAAAACCAAAAATTAGTGAAACTAAAAACGAAAAATCACAAAGGAATTTAACCTAAAAATGGGTTGCCTCCCACTAAGCGCTTGTTTTCAGTCATTAGCTTGACTGTGTGAGGGTTCAGGCATCTGGTGGATCAGATAGCGACAACAAGCGCTTCTGAGAAGAAAGTCTCCTCATCCATGGAGGTGTATAGGCATTAGGTGCATGAGGGCGACCAAGGAAGTGAGGAATAGCAGCAGGGCGGGATGTGAGTTTGGGTGGAACACTTCTTTTTCCTGCAGAATCATCAAAAGAAACACCAAGCCTTCGACAAGAATCTCGTTGCTTGCATAAGTGTGAAACAGCTTTTACACCTTTTAAACTCTTAATGATGATATCAGGGGGTTTGGAATTGAGTTCAGAAAGTGCATACCTTTGCTTTATGGGAGGCTTTTGGGCTATGAGATGATCACCAACTAAGTCTCCACTCCAATCTTCCAGCTTGTTCACTTGCTCACTAGTATCCAGCTCTTTGACATACCCAGCAATAATGTCATGTGAATGCTCTCTAATTGGTGCTTCATCTTTAGAAATCTCCACAGAAAACTTTGACCATCAATAGTGGATCTTCTTCTCAACTTGTCCATGTCAAAGTTCATGACAACGTCACCCAAATCAAGCTCTATCTTCCCTTTCTTCACATCAATGATAGCACCAGCTGTAGCTAAGAAGGATCTTCCCAAGATAAGAGGATCTATAGGTTCTTCAGCATATTCCAAAACCACAAAGTCTGTGGGAATCAAGTGACCTTCAATTTTGAGTCACTACAAGAAAACATCGATTTAGCCACTACATTTTGCGACTCAAAATTGAGTCGCTAAATATTGTTACTTATTTGCGACTAATTTAAGACTCAATTACTACTTCATGATATTCGTCGCAAATAAGTCGCAATTGTGCTACCGCAAACACCCGTGGTTCGGTAGTCGCAAAATTGCGACCGGTTTGCGACTAATCTAGCACGAAATATATTAGTCGCAAAAGCGTAGCTAATTAATCACCTTTTTGCGACGCAAATGACAGTCGCAAAAATGTAGTCGCAAAATGTGGTCGCTAACTACAGTAGTCGCAAAAGAGTGGCTACAGTTGCTACTTGTTTGCGACTACGTGTTGTTGTCTCAAGATAGTGTCAAATTAGTGTCTATATAATTTAAACACATGTCTTTCGTGTGTAAGCCGTTAGGTTGGTGTACCTAATTTTTTAGAGCGACTAAATTTGTAGTCGCAAATAAGTAACTATGTAGTCACAAAGTAGTAGCAAATAACTCTATATATACCTTACGATCTTTCTTCTCAAATTCAGAAAACCATACAATCTTTCTTCTCAAATATAATTCAGAAAACAATTTCAACTTGATTTGTAGAGAGAAACAAATCATTCCAAAAAAAATGGTGGGAAATTATAATTTTCATAATTCTAGAGAGTGGATGTATAATAGAATCGATGAGCGTACGGGAAATATTTCGGCCGAGTTCGCTTCAGGAGTAGAAGAATTCATGAATTTTGCAAGCAGTCAGCCATTAGCGCTTAGCAGTGGTGGTAAGTTTTATTGCCCTTGTATAATTGTCATAATGATAAATTTCTTACGGGGCGTAAAATTTGGAACCATCTGTATAGTAGAGGATTTATGGAAAATTATTATATATGGTATATGCATGGGGAAGAACTGGATGTCGATTTAGGAACAAGTCATGTTGATACAAGTTTTAGTAGTAGTAATCAAGCAGAAGATGCTAACGTAGAAGACGATAATGTGGAAGATAGATATGTCCAAATGGTGAATGATGCATTTCCTGATACCTCCAATATTGATAATTATTATCAAGAGGATCAGGGTAATCAAAATGCAGAAGAACCAAATAGTGAGGCCAAAAAATTCTACGACATGTTAGATGCTGCAAAAACTCCATTGTATGATGGTTGTCATGAAGGCCACTCGCAATTATTTCTAGCATCTCGGTACATGAACCTTCATGCCGATAATAATATGACTGAAAGGGGTGTGGATCAATGGGCAGAACTCATAACAGAGATTGCCTGATGAAAACCACGCAACTGAGTCATATTATGAGACGGAAAAATTGATGCGGAATCTAGCCCTCCCATATCATACAATTGACGTGTGTATTGAGAATTGTATGATCTTCTGGAGAGAAGATGAAAAGTGGGATGCATGTAAATTTTGCGGAGCACCAAGATATAAGCCCAGCGATGGACGAACCAAAATACCATACAGCCGTATGTGGTATTTACCTATTGGCGACAGACTGAAGCGTTTGTACCAGAGCGAGAAGACTGCATCAGCAATGAGATGGCATGCTGAGCATGAATCAGCGGAAGGAGAAATGTGTCATCCTTCAGATGCGGCTGAGTGGCAAAATTTTCAACAACTACATCCTCGCTTCGCCGAGGAACCCCGAAATGTTTACCTTGGATTATGTACAGATGGATTTAATCCATTTGGTATGTCCCGTAATCATTCGTTATGGCCTGTGATCTTGACTCCTTATAACTTACCCCCTGGTATGTGTATGAAGACAGAGTTCTTATTTCTTACAATTTTGAACTCTGGGCCAAAACATCCGCGAGCTAGTCTTGATGTCTTCCTCCGACCTTTGATTGAAGAGTTAAAAGAATTGTGGTCTACAGGAGTCGAGGCTTATGATATATCCCTGAATCAAAATTTTAATCTAAAAGCAGTGCTGCTATGGACAATCAGCGATTTCCCAGCTTATGGCATGTTGTCAGGATGGACGACACATGGTAGATTAGCTTGCCCAATTTGCATGGAGGATACAAAGGCTTTTCAACTGCCAAATGGAAGGAAGACGTGTTGGTTTGATTGTCACAGGAGGTATCTTCCGCATGGTCATCAGTTAAGGAAAAACAAAACAAGTTTTTTGAAGGGAAAACATGCTATAAGAGACTATCCGCCTCAATCTCTTACCGGTGACCAAGTTTTGTATGAGCGAATAAGACAAGTTAATCCGCTGAAAACATCAGATTGCGGTGGAAATGGTCATGAAGTAAAACAACGAGGATACGGAGATTGGCATAATTGGCACAAAGAAAGTATATTTTGGGAATTGCCGTATTGGACAGACCTCAATCTACGGCATAATCTTGATGTGATGCATATAGAGAAGAATTTTTTTGATAACATCATGAATACCGTTATGAATGTTAAAGACAGATCGAAGGACACGGTTAAGTCAAGGTTGGATGTCGCACGTTTTTGCGACAGGAAAGAGCTACATGTGGACAATCAAGGCAAAGCTCCATTTCCTATTTTCAGATTGACTCAGCCAGCGAAAGAAGCGCTTCTGAAATGTGTAAAAAACGATGTTAAATTTCCAGACGGCTATGCTTCAGATTTAGCTAGTTGTGCAGATGTACAAGGAGGGAAATTTTCCGGCATGAAGAGTCATGATTGCCATGTTTTTATGGAACGACTACTTCCATTTATCTTTAAAGAACTTTTACCGAAGCCCGTTCACTTTGCACTATCAGGTACTTCTAACACAATATTTTATATTGTTATATATTTTTCTATTATTAATTACCTTTATGATGTATAACAATTTTATATTTGTTCTTTGTAGGGATTGGAAGATTTTTCCGTGACTTATGCTCTAGAACTTTACAACAAAGCCGTGTTCAAGTGCTAAAGGAAAACATAGTGATGGATATATGTAATTTGGAAATGATATTTCCACCAGCTTTTCTCGATGTGATGGAGCACCTGCCTGTACATCTCCCGTATGAAGCTGAACTAGGGGGTCCGGTACAATATAGATGGATGTATCAATTTGAAAGGTTTTTCAAAAAATTGAAAGCCAAGGCGAAGAACAAAAGGTATGCGGCGGGATCGATTGTTCAGTCCTATCTGAATGATGAGATTTCTTATTTTACAGAGCACTACTTTGCCGCACATATACGTACAAAAAAAAGGTATGTAACAGATATTACTTATTAATGATATATAAAAATATTTGTTGCTTATAGTTTTCAATTAATTAATTAATGTTATTTGTTTAGATCCAGTAGATTCGATGAAGGTGAAGTTCCTAAATATCCAGTTCCTGATGTGCCCGATATATTTACTCATGTTGGTCGACCCAGTGGAAAAGTTAAAGAAATTTGGCTATCAGAGAAAGATTATCAATGCGCGCATGGCTACATCTTGCGAAACTGTGAATATTTTCGACCTCTTGAAAGGTAAATTGACGTTTTCAGTGATATATAATATTGACTGAATATCTTTATGTTAACATACGTTTATTTTCGTGTGTTGATGATCATCAGTTTGTTTGAAGAGCAGATTCGTTTTACATATCCCGAACTATGTGACACTGATGTATTAATAAAAAGAGACGAACAATTTCCTATATGGGTTAGAGATTATGTAAGTATAATTAAAGCTGTTAATATATATACTTACAATTATATTTACGTCTACATATAAAACTATATATATATGTACTTAATTATCTATATAACACTTTATCTATTTGTATTGTGATCGCAGGTTCGTTCAAGAACATTGAATCAATCCGAAGTGTTTCCTGTATGGGTTCAAGAGCTTGTGCAAGGTCCTATAAACCAAGCAAAACTCTGGCCCATTTACTTTACAAGAGGTTATTTGTTTCATACACGGAAATACGGACACCGAAAAAGAACATACAACTACGGGGTATATGTCAAAGGAGTAAATTATTCAGATGCCTCTGACGAATCTGATTTTTACGGAAATTTAATAGAGATTCTAGAGCTTCAATATATGGGGTTGGTATCTTTGAAGATCACACTTTTTAAATGCGAGTGGTACGATCCTACAGACAAAAAAGGCACTCGAAAGAGCAAGGGTGGCGTTGTCGATGTTCTTTCCTCAGGAAAATATCGTAAATACGAACCATTCATTCTTGGTAGGTGTATGAATTTTATTTTGCATGATTTTAAATTTGTTTTCATCTTTACTCACTACAAGAAAACATCGAAATTGAATTCACTTACTTATAACCATTTCGTTTGAATTTGCGTACATGCAGCTTCTCAGGCGGACCAAGTTTGTTACATCCTGTATCCGTACGTTAGTAAACCAAGAAAGTGCTGGCTAAATGTTCTTAAAGTTAATCCAAGGGCAAATATTTTGGGGAATTACAAGGATAAAGAACCAACTCTTCTTCAACAAGAAAATGACGACGATGTGTCGACAACAAACGAAGATATCATAATAGATAGTCTGGTGATCAGAGAACATCCAACAGAAGAAATTGATTTTGATGTCGGAGATGCCCAAGGAGAAGATGAATTTCAGTGTAACATATCATCTTCGATGAAGATGAATATGATGAGGATGGGGATGAGGATGAAGATGTAGATCACACATACTAATAATGCTTTTTATATAATTATTTTACTGTATGTGTGATTAAAATTTCATAAATAATGACTACCTACAATCGCAACCAAATTCATAATAAATAGCTAATTCGTAGCACAAGTGCGACTGATTTGCGACTCAAGAAGAAAATATATTAAAAAAATCCGTCATTAGTCGCAAAAGAGTCACAAAACTTTATCACTTTGCGACTGAGTTGCGACTTCAGTTCATTTTTTCATGTCTTAAAGGTTTATGTTATTAAGTTTTTGTAAAATAAGATGCTAATACTACAATGCTTGTTTAACTACTACAAAGAAATCAAAATTTGTTGAAATTATGCTAGGTTTAGGGTTTTGAATATGATATTGCACAATTCTCATTGTTTATCTTAAAATCATATTGATTTGGTTCTAAGTTATTGGAATCTTGTTTTAAGTATTTTAATAATTTAATTTGTACTCAATTATTCATAGATTACACATATTGTGCAACTAAATATAGCAAATATATCATTTAGGGGTTATTTAGGGTTTAGGAAAACCAAATTCATAATAAATAACTCAAAGTAGTCGTTAATTCGTAGCTTTTTTGCGACTGATTTGCGACTCAAGAAGAACATATATTAAAAAAATCCGTCATTAGTCGCAAAAGAGTCACAAAGCTTTATCACTTTGCGACTGAGTTGCGACTTCAGTTCATTTTTTCATGTCTTGAAGGTTTATGTTATTAAGTTTTTGTAAAATAAGATGCTAATACTACAATGCTTGTCTAACTACTACAAAGAAATCAAAATTTGTTGAAATTATGCTAGGTTTAGGGTTTTGAATATGATATTGCACAATTCTCATTGTTTATCTTAAAAAATCCGTAATTAGTCGCTAATAAGTCACAAAGTTTTAGCACTTTGCGACTGATTTGCGACTTTAATTCTTTTTTTCCGTCTTTAGTCGCAAAGTCGTCACTTAAGTTGGCGCTTAATATTTCCGAAAATTCCCCAATTATTTCCAATTTTCCGCCTCAAACCCCCAATTTTTTTTTCCTCTATCTCACAAAACCCTTTTCACTTCTCTCTCTCTCTCGCTCTCGAAATCGATCTGTTGCATGTCAAAAATTCGACTGCTTTTCAGCTTCTCGATCGATCCGTTTTGTATCTCCATCTCCTTGCTTTCCCTCTGTCCTCTCGATCTCTCCTAAACCTCTCTCGATCCATATCACCCTCTAAATCTCTACCTTTCACTTTTCCAATTTCTCGTTTTTTTCCCCGAATTCGACAAATCTCTCGTTCTCTCCTCAATGGCCGGCTCCGGTAAATCTCAAAAGGGTCGTGGCGGCATAAGCGGTGGGATGGGGTCATCGTCTGGAAGAGCTTCATCTCACACCTCAAACAGTAGTACCCCGTCTTCAAATAGCCGTCCCCTGCCTATTCAATACGCTCATAGTCAGAGCCCTATTCCGGAGACAATCCCACCGCGTGGCTCGACTCTTGCTCCACAGACGTCGCCGCGTGGCTCTGCTTCACACCCACAGCCGATCCGTCCCCAACCGCTTCGTCCACCGCCGTACGTTCCACCACAGTGGACTCCACCACCGTACAATCCACCGCCGGAAGGTCCAGAGACAGATGCTGAACCAATGGAGGATCAATTCCCGGAACAGGCTCAACCACCACCGCATCAAGATCCACCGATGAGTATCCACGACTTGCTGCAAACACCAGGTCGTGCTGACTATTTACCCATCTTGGACCCTCTTCCCACCGCAAACACAATATGGTAATCCCTAATTAGTTTTCTTTTATAAATTTCTTTGCTTGATTGTGTGTTCTTCTCATCATACAATTGAAATGGCTTTGTGTTTTAATCTCATATTGTAGGTTTGATCGGGATGATGGCAAATTGGTTCGCAAAATATCCAAGATTTTGAAAAGCAAGTTTGATGGTCCATACTACTGCTGGACAAAAACGCCTCCATATGTTCAAGATAGGTGTTTCATAGCCTTTGCGGTATGAAACTAAACCCAATCATTTCCCTAAATATTTCCATTTTTCTCTTAATCAACTAGTTTTTTTTTTGTTAATTTCATTATATGTTGTTTCATTTGTGAAGCAAGCATACCATTGGGATCCCTTGGTCCATTCACTCGTGGAAGACGAATTCAAGGCAATTGCATTGAATCGGATGAAAGACTTGGTCTCCAAAGCAAGGACAAAACGGGTTCGACCAAGTTGGATTGGGGAAACATTGTGGGAGAGTATGTGCGCTTACTGGTCCACCGAGGAGGCCAAAGCGAGAAGTTCTACTGCATCAAATGCAATCAAATTTCCGAAAGATGGACTTGGCAAGCGCATACATCGGTCAGGACAAAAGTCCTATTCACGCATTCAGAGAGATATGGTAAGTTCTCCTTTTTGATGCTTGTCTTTCATCTTTTGTTTGTTATTTTTGTGGCTTAGGTTCTTGTGGTGAAATGTTTTGCTTGTGTGAAATATATCTTAATTTGTTTTCATTATGGTCTCTATATGGTGAAGCGAGATTGAATGGACCTAATATCATTGTCATTGCTTAGGATTGTTAGTTTTGGTTTGACAAAAAGGCATTAGTTTGGTAATGTTTCAATTTGTTAGTATTTGAGACGGTTTCATTTAATTTGTAATTTGATCTTTTTCTATGAAATTTTTATATGTGATGAAGGAAAAAGAGCTTGAAAGACCGGTATCAATCGGAGAAGTGTTTATAAGGACACATACACTGCCTGACGGAAGTTTCGTTGATCCAAAGTCTCAGCAGATTGCTGAGACTTATGAAAAAAACTTAGAGGACGAGATGTCTCAGCTTATGGATGACGAAACTGATTGTTCTTCTGAGCTTACCACAGCTGCAAAAGACAATGTCTTTCTCAAGGTCAGTCTCTGTTTTCTTTATGTATGTGTTGTGTTTAATGTACTTGTGGTTACTACTTTGTCATGATATGCATTTGTTTTATTTGCAGTCAACGGTAACAGATGATAGAGGCCAAGAGTTTGGTCTTGGTAGTCTCCGGAGACACTATGGCAACGGGAAGAGGAAGAGAGGGGCAGGGAATGTATTTATTTTTGTTGCACATGTTTTGTTTTGTGTTTTGAATGGAAACATGATTTTCCTTTCTAGTCTATAAATTTTAGTTTTAGCATTCTTTATAAATTTTAGTTTTAGCATTCTTTAAAACTAATTATTTTATAAATCAATTTCACTATTCATGAATTAGAAACGACTAATTAGTTACCAATGTGTATCAAATCTAAGCAACAACTTAGTCACTGCATTTTTCAAAGGAGTCGCAAAGTAGTCACACAAATTTAAGACTTTTTTGCGACTACGGTCAATATTAGATTATGAAATAATATACGAAAATATATATATATATATATACAGCAGTCGCAAACGAGTCGTTACATTTAGTCACGTGTTTGCGACCACATCCACAAAAGTCTTTAATCAGACCCAAAAACTAACGACTATATAACGACCGTTTTATCACTACTAAAGAAGTCTTAAATCCGTCGCAAACTATTGTGACTTTATTGCCACTTCTTGAGCGACTGTTTTGAGACTACTGTGCACTCGTCGTAATATTTAACGCGGAGTCTCTCAATAGTCGCAAAAATAAGACTACAGTGTAGTCGCACTTTGGTTTCAAATGTGCGACTAAAAGGCAACTATGTGGATTTGCGACGCGTGATTTGCGACTACTTTGGATAGTCGCGAAATAGTTTCAACACTTATATTTGCGACTACTCTGCGACATTTGTTGTAGTGGCAAGATCGATGTTTTCTTGTAGTGAGTGGAACATCCTCTATGACACCTTGTGGGATTCTTCTAGATCGATCAGCCATGATAAGAGAGATCCTAGTTGGCTTGAAATCAGTCATTCCAAGTCTAGCAGCAACAGAGAGAGGCATCAAGTTTACACTGGAACCTAGATCACAAAGAGAATGAGGAAACCTGCTTGTTGAGATAGAGCAATCTAGCACAAAGTTTCCTGGATCAGTAGCTTCTCTGGAATCTTGTTCTGAATCATAGCACTGACTTGTTCAGAGACCATCACCTTCTTCTTCTTTGGGACTGTGCTCAAGAGAACAGCACTAATGTCTTTGGTAAGCAATGCTCCTTCCTCAGGACTCACACCATTCACAACCATTCTCTTAACATACCTCCTTAGTGCAGGTGAAAGATTGACTGCATCAACTAAAGGTATCTCAATCATCAGCTTGTCTATCATGGCCTTGACTTTTGCATCTTCAATCTCTTGTTTAGACTTCCTAGGACCTCTTGGAAAAGGAATTTTAGGCTTATAGACTCTTTCTGCACCTGATTTGGACGTTTCTGTAAGATCTGGTGCAGTCTGGAATTTGCAGGAATTTGCCTGAAAATCCGAAATTTGCAGAATTTCTTCTGGCAGTCTGGTGTCGACCGACACAGGGAATGATGTCGCCCGACACCACTATGGGAGTGTCGACCGACACAGTTCAGTGGTGTCGCCCGACACAACTTCTGCAGTGCGAAAATCAGTTGCAGTCTTCTCAAAATCCACGAAATTGGCTCCAGTTTCCACCATAATAGCATGACATGAATGTTTGGGATTGATATTGGTCTTTCCAGGAAGAAAACCCTCTTGTCTTTTGATAGACTCAGCACTTTGAGCAACTTGAACATCCAACTTCTTCACATGTGTGCTCAAAGCTTCAAATTTCCCATTCAAGTCTTGGTACATGGCATCCATCCTTCCATTAAAGCTCACAGTCATGTTTTGCTGACCTTCTAGAAGTTGCTTAAGCATTGACTTCATCTCATTGTCTTGTTCAGGAGGTTTCTGGTAAGAAGAAGAACCATAAGGCTTATGATAAGAGGAATTATATCCTTGTTGATTGGCCCATCTCTGTCCTTGAAACCCAGCTCCATTGATGAAATTAACATCTTCTTCATCCACACTTTCAACCTCAGCAGCAAATTGAACTGATTTCTTTCCCACAAGAAGGCCATGCACAGAATCTAACTTAGCCTTAACCTCAGCAATTTGACTTCTATCCATGTTTCCACCTAGCTTCTTCCTCTCTAAATCAGCATTCTTGGTACTATTGCTAGATGCCAAGTTCTCAATAAGTTGGTAAGCCTGATGTGGATACCTGGTGTTGAAATTCCCATTGCTCGCAGCATCGAGAGCCATCTGATACTGCCAATCAATGCCTCTAAAGAAGGTGCCCAGTAGCTGAATCTCACTAAACCATGGTGTGGACAGTCTCTCTGATATGACCTGAATCGAACCCAAGCCGCCTTGAACGCTTCAGTAGGTCCTTGACGAAATGTAGAGATGTTGTTCCTTGCCTCCTCAGACATTGCATCATCATAGAAATTGTTCAGAAAGGCTTTCTTAGTATCCTCCCAGTTTGTCAAAGATCCTGGTTGCAACTGCTTTAGCCAGTAAGCTGCATCCCCAGCAAGAGAGTAAGGGAAAAGCTTGCAGAGAAGGTAGTCCATGCTCACGCCATCGGCTTTGATGCTGCTGGCCAGGTCTTCGAAGTTCTCAATGTGATCCATTGGTTTCTCAGTGGGATAACCATGAAAGGGATGCAGACCCACAAGAGTGTAGTAAGAAGGTTTCAGCTCAAAGTTATTCCTCTGGAACGGAGGAGGTCGGATCGCAGACCGATTCGCATAAAACAAATCAGGCCTGTTGTGGTCGCCTAGTGTGCGCTGCTCTCCTGCTCCTTCATTGGGTAGTGCCGGCTGAAAAGCTGCAGGCTGAATAGGAGCAGCTTGGTTGAGGGGGTGGGTTAGGAGCAGCTGGATCTACAGCTGGTTCTGGGATCACATTCCCAGCAGCATCGAGTTTCTGCCCTTGCTCATTGTACCGGTTCCCTTCTGGATCAAACAGAAGCCCATCTTCACCGCGAATCAAGACTATGTGATTGACCATCTCGACTGGCTTCTTGGCTTTTCTGTTTGTACGCTCTAAGTGTGCTAGCTCTTGATTAGTGAGATTGAGTAGCTCTTCCTGCTTGTTGCTTCTGGTTCTGCAAGTATGCATACACCTGAAACACCAAAAAGAAAGAATGTAGAGCGTGAGTAACAAAACAAAAAGAAACACTTAGACAAGACTCTAGAACTAGAAATCTGATGGCAACAACAAGACGATTGGCAACGGCGCCAAAAACTTGATAGGTTAAGTTTTACCCTATATTATCACTGCAAGTGCACAGCAAATCAATGTAGTAAATAGGGTTTATCGAATCCAAACGTCTATCAGTTGCACAACGAATTTCCAGATTCAAATCAGGCTAAGTAAGATATGAGTAATGTAAAAGCAAATAAAAGAAAACAAAGTAGCAGGTGATTGATTAACGAGGTTAAATTCAATGAGACAAAGGTTAGGCCTTGGGAAATTCGCAGGTTGAATCCGAATTGCAGAGTAAATATCAGGATATTAATGAAGAACCATTCTAGAACTCAAATCACAATTGTAAAACCAATCAACTTTCGTTGCAGAGATTATCTATGTCTAAACTTAGAATCCCAAATTTCTTTGCAAATTCAACAATTCAAACAAGCATTAATGATCAGGTTTGATAAGTTCACAAAATCTCTAAACCAAATTCCTTTGCAGATAGATATTTTGCTCATCTAAGATAGTTCAGGAAATCAATAACACTTTCGTGTCTACCAATTAACCTAAGATCAGATTCTAGGTCGCGAAGCTAGAATAAGCAATAAACACAATCCAGATGAAGAACTCTAATGATTATCCTAAGCAATTGCAATTCTTCTTCAACCTTTGAAAAACCCTAAACCTAACAAGGAATCTACTCAGACATGGTGATTGAGACAAACATCATGAATAAATAGATTGCATAAAAGAAATAAGAATAGAGATAAAGGAGTTCAAAATCTTCTCTGAAGGAGTTTGATCTATCTCTCCAAAGCTCTGCTACAAATCTCTCTCTAAGTCTCAATAGAATAAAAGTATGAAAAATAGCCTAACAATGGCTTTAAAAACCTAAAAACACGAATTGGGCCTTCTTGTAAATAAGTGGAACTTCTGGGCTAAAGTGCAGATCTTCAAAAGTCTTTAAAATAGAACTTGCGTTTCTGGGAAAAGGGGGTGTCGACCGACACAGATGATGGTGTCGGTCGACACCAAGTCTCTGAGAACGATCTTTTGTCTTGTTTTCCAGCTGTTCCCCAAATATGCTCCAAATAGCTCCATTATCTCCAATTGTGCTCCAAAACATGCTTAGACCTGTATAGACTCAAAAAGACTCCAAAAACACTAAAAAGACTCTATATACAAGACTTATATCATGGCAAAAACCCATAAAAACCATGATATATCATCGACCCTCAACTCGATCGAGCCCAGTTACTCTGTTCTACTCGATCGAGCTTGAGCCGCTTCTATTTACTGCTTTGTCACTTGCATTTCATTTCATTAGGTTGCTAGAGTTCCCCCATCATTTTACTGTTTGGCTTGACTTTCTTGTGGTTGCATATTCTCATAGAGTAGCAACAAACCCTTATGGATTGATCACCTCTTATGCTACATTGACTATGATGGTTAAGAGGAATTGATTGATTGTGATTGCACCACATCATCTTATCTTTATTCACTCCTGTTTGCATTCCACCTCATATCTTTCATATCATTTCATATTACCCACACACAAATCCTATCATCAACAAAACACAAGAAGTGTGGTAGAAAACTTACAGAACAACACGCCGTAAAACTCCCGATTGAACATAACCCTAGCTGCGCAAAAACAAAACAAACATGGTTAGAACCGCATGCAAACGAAAAGCATAAACGATTGCACAAACCCTAAATAACATGAGATCGTAGCTAAAACATATATGGGCAACAACTAAAGCAAGAACCAAAAATAAAACTATAGACAATATGAGAGCTACTCGAAGTATATATATATATGAAGTGTGATCTAGGGTTTTAGGGGTTAAACCGTCCAATTAAATAAATATCAATGATCCGATAAATGCATATATGAATCTATCACCGCAACCGTATATGAAACTATCCTTTTCTAAATATATCCTGCCCAACCACACGTGATTATTTCTTAACCAAGAAAAAAGGAAGTTTTGCTTTTCTAATTACACTAATTCATTTTAATTCGCATATTAGTAGAAAGACGTAATTAGACATGTCATTAGGCGTATTCATTAATTCATTAAGGGCATTAGGGTAATATTTTGTGAGAGTGATTTTGGTGTGTGCTTCGCAAATAATAGTATAGACTAGTAGAGTACCCGCACGTTTGTGCGATGTGACGTTGTGGTTTTGTGTAGAAAATTTAAACCCTAAATCCGAACCCGACCAAAAAGCTCTAATCAAAAATTTTAAAAACCCAAACTTTTTTAATATGTCTAAACCCCAAAATCTGAAATAAAAAAAATCCTGAAAACCCTGAATGAACAAAAAAATTTGGAAACTTTTTCACCCGGAACCCGACCCAAATACCCTAATCAAAATTTTAAAATACTACTTTTTTAATATATCTAAACCCGAAAACTCGAAATCCAAAAACTCCGGAAAACCCTAAACTGAAAAAAAAAACTCGAACCCAACCCGAACATAAATTTTCAAAGAAACCTGAACAATTTTTATATATCTATATCTCTATATCTCTATAAAATTAGGTCTCAGATTTTCACCCAAACCCGAACTTGTCTATAAAAACCCGAAAATTCAAAAAGCATATTCTATGATTTGGTATTATGTTAGATTTTGTTAAGTTTTTTTTTCGCAGATTTTTAAGAGTTGGAAAACGGAAGTTTTCTAAACCATCGGTTTATTTAAGTTATTATTCTTGTATCCAAACAATTTTTTCCATTTATTCTTCTATCCAAATAGCTTTTTCTCTTATTCTGTATCCAAACATTACAATGTACTAAATTGACCCTCATTAAATTTGTTGTCAAACACTTTTTATTCATAATTAGATTGACTTTTTGGTCATAAAAAATTTTTCATGTACTTCTCAATTAATAATATAACTAGTATAGTACCCGCACGTTTGTGCAGTGTGACCTTGTGTTTTTTTTTTGTAGAAAATTTAAACCCTAAACTCGAACTCAACCAAAAAAACCCTAATCAAAAATATTAAAACCCAAACTTTTTAATATGTCTAAACCCGAAAATCCGAAATCAAAAAAATCCCAAAAACCCTGAACTGAAAAAAAAAAATCTGGAAACTTTTTCACCCGGAACACGGCCCAAATACCTTAATAAAAATTTTAAAATACTCAAACTTTTTTAATATATCTAAACCCGAAAACCTGAAATCCAAAAAATCCAGAAAACCCTAAACTGACAAAAAAAAAACTCGAACCCAACCCGAACAGAGATTTTCAAAGAAACCTGATTAATTTTTATATCTCTATAAAATTAGGTCTCAGGTTTTCACCTAAACCCGAACTTGTCTAGAAAAACCCTAAAATCCAAAAAATATATTCTATTGATTTGGTATTATCGTTAGATTATGTTAAGAGCTAAAAAAACGGAAGTTTTCTAAACCATCGGTTTGTTTTAAGTTATTATTTTTGTATCCAAACAATTTTTTCCATTTAATATTCTATCCAAATAGCTTTTTCTCTTATTCTTGTATCCAAACATTACAATGTACTAAAGTGACCCTAATTAAATCTATTGCCAACCACTTTCTCTTTATAATTAGATTGGTTTTTGGTCATAAATTTTTCATGTACTTCTCAATCTATATATATAAAGTTCATGTAATTCTCTTCTCAAGCTGCCACCTCAGCAAAAGATGGTGCCTCTAAATTAATCATTTCAGCACAAACATTTAATATATCATATATATATATATATATATATATATTTTTTAATTTTTATAATAGTTATCATTCATTAAATAGGCTTAACAAGAATATGAAAAGTCATTTACAAAAAGGAGAAAGATTTTATATAAATATATAAACACTAGTATTTAATAATAATAATAAAAATAAAATATATTATACATAAACACTGTTTTTTCTATAGTATTTTTGGATGAAAAGAGACAAGATTGGATATGACGAGACGAAAAAAATAGAATCGGAGAAGAGGAGAATTTTGTTTACTTCTTATGATATGAAGTGACGAGACGAGATCTAAAGGAACAAAGAAGAACGGAATAGGACAAGGCGGAAATTTTGCCTACCTCTAATTATGGCTCTGATTGACAAATTGACTTTGAAAACTTTAGAGGTTTTTAGAATTTTTTAAAGTCTTTAAAGTCTAATTTTAACCAATCACACTTTTGTGATTTTACAGTCTTAAAAGTCATTAACTTCCCCCCTAAATTTTCTCAGAGCCCATTTCTTTTTTTTTTTTCTTCATGTTCGATGGGTATTTTGCAAAAGCCAAAAATTGTGGCTTTAACTTTTTTTTTAAGTCACAGCCCTTATTTAAAAGTCACAGTTTTAACAGTAACGGTTTTAATAGCCAAAAGTCCTTAACAATCAGTATCTATATTTAGGGGTGGAACGGAAAAAACGAAAAAAAAACATGATGAAAGAGGACAAGACAGAAATGTTGGACGTGAAAAAAATGAAAAGAAATGGAATGTGACCGGATTGGACGGGACGGGATTAGACGGGACAAGATGAAAAAGGACATAATGGGACGGGAAGGGACGGGATGAAAATTTTGCCTACCCCTAATCATATTTAGAGACGAGACAGAGATAAGACAAATTGGAAATAAACATAATAAGATATGATGAGACTGGATGGGGCGGACTGAACGAACGGGATGGAAAAGAAAATGACAAGATGAAAATGAACAGAATGGGATAGAATTATGTCTACCGCTAATTATATTCAGGGAACGAGACAATAATCTTATATATAATGAGAGGATAACTCTCTCCATATGAGTGACATGTGGCATATACTCTATTAAAAAAAAATACACAGACGAAGTAAAATCGTTTTGGCTTCCGAAGTTTCATTTGCCGTTGTCCTCGGCGGCGCCTCGAAGAATCTGTAAGCGGCGCTTCTAAGAATGAGATTCCCCGGCGTTACTAGCAGTGGCGATGCGTCGTGGATGAGTGAGAGGAGAGCTTCGGCGATGTGAGAGGCCGCTCTCTGAAACGGAGGTTTCACATTCCCGTTGAGATGGTAATTGAGCCGCCAATATCCCTTGCACGAGAACGGTGTGGTGGCGTTAATTTTTCCGATGGTTCCGATTAGCTCCGCTGCGTTGAACACCTGCTCGACAATATCGCCGATGCTGAAACCTCCCACTCCATACACATTTCATAATCAAAGATTGTAAACAAACAATCACAGTAACCATAGAAAAAACAAGGGTTTTGTGCAAAACAACCCTCAAACTAAATTCTTTTTGCAAATCAAACCCTCAATTTAAAGTTGTGCAAATCAAACCTCTGAAGTCAAAATAACCCCGCAATATAAGACATCTCTATATTTATGACAAAATTTAAAATGATTTTATGCAAAAAACCGCGAACTATTTTTTGTGTGCAAATCTAACCCTCAACTTAAAAAATATGCAAGTCAAACCTGCAAAGTCGAAAGTCACTGCTAAAATGAACTTATATGTATTTGTCCTTAACTACAAACGTTGACTCAAAACATCATGACATTTATAATATTTTAACCATTTTTATTAAAAATACTTAAAACAATAATTCAATATTTCTTCTCTTTTTTCTCCATCAATAAGGAGAGGGTTAGGATTTTTAACCAAATCCAAAAAAACTAAACCGTAACCAATCCAGAAAATCAAAACCGAACCAACTTACTCACAATATAATTACTTGGAAGATCTGAAGTCCTATGTCTTTATGAGCCTCTCTCGAATAATTCTATTGCGAGTAAATTAGTTCTTATCTTTGTCTCTTCGTCGTCATTAGTTAATGAGATCATGAAGAAAAGAATCAACTTATTCGCGATAAGATTACTCGAGATAAATTCATTAATAAGAGGAGAAAGAGAAAGGAAATTAAAGATTAAAGTTTTTTGTTTTTGTTTTTTTTAATTTACTTTTAATAAAAATGGTTAAAATATTATAAATGTCATGACGTTTTGAGTCAACGTTTGTAGTTAAGGACAAATACATATAAGTCCATTTTAGCAGTGACTTTCGATTTTGCAGGTTTGACTTGCATATTTTTTAAGTTGAGGGTTAGATTTGCACACAAAAAATAGTTCGCGGGTTTTTTTGCATAAAATCATTTTAAATTTTGTCACAAATATAGAGATGTCTTATATTGCGGGGTTATTTTGACTTCAGAGGTTTGATTTGCACAACTTTAAATTGAGGGTTTGATTTGCAAAAATAATTTAGTTTGAGGGTTGTTTTGCACAAAACCCAAAAAAACAAAGACAAGGTGAAAGAAAGAGCAAAACCTATGAATTTTCAAGACTGAAAACCAGAAAAATCAGTTCAAGCAAAGTGAAATTACCCAAATCAGACTGCTGACGATCTTTGTTTTAGCTTTAGTTTCTGAATAGATGGATTAATCTCTAATCATTCTTAGGGTTTGTGCTTAGGATAAGAAATTAAGAATTCCCAAATCGATTTCACGACACAACTTTCTTAGTCTGAAACTTTTTTTTGTCGAAACGACGTCACACCAAATTAAATCCTTAAATATAACTATATAAGTAAAGATGGACACGTGCAAAGCAAAAAATTGCCTTTCACACTTCCGAAGAAAACGTTTCTCCTGCCGATTAAACATAAAGGGTTTTACATTCCCGATCATTTTCATCTCCGTTGAATTTTCAAGTCCCTTCATGTGATTCTTCACTACCTTCCATGTCAAACCGTAAGTGAAAGGCGTTGACAAATTAGGGTTCTTATTCCAACATAAAATGCCAATTTCTCTGCATCATATAAATTTGGAATTTTCGTTATTTTCCGCTTCTCTCTCTCTCTGTACTCACATATTCTGCAGGAGTCAGGGCTCTCCCATTATTCGAACTCTTCGAGTGGATGGAAAAACCGGAACAATGCTCTCAGGTTCTTTGTCCTCCCTTTCATTATTTTCTCTCTCTCTCTCTTTGTCCCATGGAACACCATTTCCCTTAGGTTGAAACCAAAGCTGGAATATTTTTCTTATACTGGTACCTTCTTCACTTTTGTTGGTGATGCAATGAAACCCCCAAGTATTACATTTTCTTTCTTCTTTATTATTCAGGAAATAGTGGATCTAATGCCTGTTCCTGGTGCCGGGTAGGCTCTCTCTCATGAGCTTATGGCAAAAGCAAAAGAAAGAGTTATTATGTTTTTCTCAATGGTTGTCTGAATGATGGATGTGGGCAGGCCTCTGGGACCATTTGTACCAGCACCACCTGAGTATGCGATGCAGCTGTTCCGAAACCCAAGTGGAGGACCCAACAACCCTCCTTTTGAAGGTGGCAGCGGCGGCAGAGGTGGACCGGCCCCTTTTCTTTTGTCCCCTGCCTTTAGACAGGATAATTAGTGACTGAGAGAGGAGAGGTCGAAGACGCTGATGAGCCCTGAATCCGCCATGAAATCTGTTGGAGTTTTGGTTCTGTTTGCGGTTCTAACATTAGGTAAAATCATATTTTCTCTCTGTTTTATTTCCCAATCTGATATCTGATCGATCAGCATTTCAGAAACTAATCCATCGATCTGATCTCCGTTTCTGTGATCATGATCTATAGCTTATGATCATGACAGAGTTGCAGATTGGTGTCAAAGTATATAACGCTCTTTCACGTTCTCGGAGTTTAATTTCGTTCGTTCGAATTTCCATTTCATATTCCCCTGTTGGCGAGATTGAATTTGATATCTCAGTTTACGTGATTAAAAGATGATAATGGTCATGATCATTACGAGTTTACATTGAAATTTCCAGTCTTTTGTAATTGCATCGATCTACGATAGATGACTTTGGTTTTGCTTTTGTTTTTTAATCTTCTCTGCCCTTTACGTTGGATTGTTAATGAAGAATTTGGAAACGAAGTCGGCTTGCTTCCATACTCTTTTGGTTATGGAATTAAATTTCTGCACCTTTACTTTAATTTGTGCATTTTTACAGTTCAAGCCTCAGAAATGTGATACTCAGGCTAACAAAGGGGATAAGATCAAGGTCCATTATCGGTAAGTTTACTTTTATCAAAGAGCTTTTACAAGAAAACCGACTTCACTTATGAGACAATGAGTCAACGGAAATGAGGGATATGATTCGTGTGGCCACTCTTGGTATACATAATCTAAAAGACAGTAGCTCAAGAGAGATGGTAAGAGAATTCATGTCTATCTACAGAAGCTTCACATTCCAAGCTTTTAGGGAGTTATAGTAGCTCGGGTAAATAAAAGGAACAACTTACTGAGACGGGCAAGCCCGAGACTAACAGCAAAGAGAGAAAAGATAAGAAGCGTAAAGCAAAGCAGCAAACAGAGGAGATAGAGCAGATTGGAAAAGAAGATAATGAGTCAACAAAGAAAGAGAGAAAACCGAATAAGCCTAAATCAAAGAAGCAAGGGGATGAAGAAGAAGAAACTCAGAAAGCAATATTTTATGTAAATGGACTGTAGCTTTTGATAATAGGCTATATTCCCAATTAATGAGAGCCTTAGTTGCCAATATAATTTTAATTTTAATGTTTTCTAAGAAAATATTACTAAAATTATGTTTTATATTATTTATTATTTATCATTTTCATTTATTAAAGTATTTTTGAATTTTGTCCTTACTTTTTAACTTATTAATTATTCATATCAAACAAAACAAAATAGTAATTAGGGATAAACCAATAACTTTGATTATTTTCTTAATGCGTAAAATATTCCATAACAATAATTAAAAAAGAAATAGAAGGAGTATAATTTTTGAGGTATAATCTACACTTTTTTATTACAATTTATGTGGAGAAATACAAATTTTCAATATTTATTTTAGATAAGATAAGGAACAATATAGAAAAAGATAGATAAAAGGTGTTGAAAATAAAAATGTTTGGAAATTAATGTAAAAATTATAGATACAAATAATAAAACTTTGTAATATTCATAATCCGCGCATCGCGCGGGCTTAGCCCTAGTAAATCTAATGGAAAGAATCATAATGGGATAGGATAGGACTGAACGGGACGGGACATACAAGATGAACAGGACAAGAAAGAACGTACATGAACAAAATGGGACGAGATGGAAAAAGATGGTACAAAAAATTTGCCGAACTCTAATTATATTAAGTAATATGTGCATAATATCTTTAAAACAATATTAATTTTGCGAAAAACAATAAAACGAACATAATCCGTGCGTAGCGCGGGTCACTCTAGTTAATAATAATATAAAGATAAAGATGTATTGCAGTTATTCAAAAACATGCAGTTATTCAAAACAAAACTACATGTAAAGCATTTAAAAAAAAAAACATTTACATTTTTCAGTAAATATACTGTACGTACCTAACTAAGGGTAAACTCGGAAATGTAAAAAACGTTTCGAAGAGAAGAAAGCAAAAGAGACACGAGAATCATCTGCTTAAAATCCAATCGTATCGGACTCAGTCTTCTTCTTCACCTACCTCTCTCTCTTCCTCTACTATTTGGTCCTTTTGTACCACTTGCCGGCGCCGGAGAGACTGAGATGACTTGGTCGGTTTTCAGATCCATTAACTCTCCGACACTCGACCTCTCCGCCGCATTTCGTTCCACTCGCCGCCCATTGGTCACTGCCGGTGTCGGCTGCGTAACGTTCACTGGTGTTACCCTTTCCCGAATGTCTTCTAGATCTCCTCCTTTCGCTTCCCTCAGTGTCTCAGCTACTTCCGGTAACAATTTCCCTTTCTCTTCCCTTCGATTTGGAATCTCTTCCCCCTAAATTGGCTTCTTGTGTCCAATGTTGGTACATCCTAAACGTTCCGATTTTGATGAAGCTGAAGTCCACTTTTGATTAGATTCCAAGTGTTTGTTTGTTACTTTTGGGTCTTAATTCTTTCTACATTTACTGTTTTGTATTCAAATGTTTAATATTGAGAGTTAGTGTTTGAATCAGATGTGAAGGAAGTTGTGGCTACAGAGAAAGCACCAGCTGCTTTGGGACCATACTCTCAGGCCATCAAAGCCAATAACATGGTCTTCCTTTCTGGTGTTCTTGGACTTATACCTGAGGTAATAAGATACTGAATGTAAAATTGTAAATCACTATATCGTTTTACTTTGATCTTCTCTGGCTTCTAATATTGCAAGATTTCTCTTTTGTGCTGTGTCTATAGACTGGAAAGTTTGTCTCAGACAGCGTTGAAGATCAGACCGAGCAGGTGAAGTAGCCTTTTTAGATTGTCATACTATGAAGATTAGTTTAGTTTACAGTAATTTCCATTTGCATCTCTTTTGTGTTCGGGTGATTTATATTAAGTCAAGGAGGTTGAGCTTGTCTTGAATGTTGTTTCACAAATGATGGTGAAGATGTAGCTATTGAGCCTAATTCAAGCGAAGTCTTGATTACTTTCGAGTTTTGCTTTTGAACTGCTTGATTCAGTCATAGTCTTGTGTGTTTGTAGAAAGTTTCAGTTGCTTTGTTTTCTATTCCTGATATTGTCTGATTACTTTTTGGAATATCGAAAGGTACTCAAGAACATGGGGGAGATATTGAAAGCTAGTGGTGCTGATTACTCTTCGGTGGTGAAGACAACAATCATGTACGTTTTATGCTTAACAGTATCATTATTTATGTGAAATTATGAAGGTTAAAGAAAACAAAAGCGATCGTTTTGATTTTTCTATCGCAGGCTTGCTGACTTGAATGACTTCAAGAAAGTGAACGAGATATACGCCAAATGTGAGTTTTTTTTTTTTTTTTTTTTTTGTTAGTGTTCCTACTCACTTCGTAATGCATAATTACTGGTTGTGGATTGGTTTAAAGAATTGTTGTGAACCATTTTCTTCCGTCTGGTGCAGACTTCCCAGCTCCTTCTCCAGCAAGATCGACTTATCAAGTCGCAGGTTTACCTCTAAATGCCAAGATCGAGATCGAATGTATTGCAGCACTCTAGGAAGAGTTTTTGATTCGGAACATGTCAAAACAAATAAGAGAAAGGAAAACAATGGTTTTATCAACCCATTCTTAACGTACTTTTCATTTTGCTGCACTGCCTCAAAACTGATGTGGATTATCAAAGCATTACGTTCGTTGCAAAACCTCTTAAGCCCTCTCTACATTAATCAAGAATAAGTTGATTTGTTAGTTCATTTGCGGTCGACTTAATATATGACTAGGATTTAACCCGCACAAATGTGCGGGGAAAACGATTTATAAAAATTATAAAGAAATTTAGTTTTTATTGTTTGTGGAACAGATTAGTAAGATTTAAGAAGTTTCTAGATTAAAATTAGATTTAGGTGGTGACTGACATATGATTTAGTAATTAACGAAATAGAGTTGGTTATATAAGTTTTGCACTATCGTACTAAATTTGATAATATATTCTAATCAGTAATCAGTGAAATATAGTGTTTAATAATACTAAAATCTAAATGTAAACAGAATTGTTGAATGTTAAGACCGTAAAACATAAGAAACATGAGATATGGAATAACCTAACTCCTCGATCAAACTTGTGTGAAAGACAACTATCGATCGGTGAAAAAATATTATCCAATTTGTAAATGAAATTTATAAAAAATTGATTTTAACCCTTGAAAAAACTTCTTCAATCCGTAAAATTTAATTTTAACACACTAAAAAAAAATTATTCACTTATGGAAAATATTTAACATGTAACAAAAAATCATTTATTTGTAAAGAGTATTCACCCCGTGAAAGAAACAATTTCAACTCGTGGAGAAAAAGTATTTAACCCTTTCACCGAAATTATTGAACAACTTATTCAACTCGATTAATTAAATTATTCAACCCATAAAAAGATACTATTGAACCCGCAAAAGAAAAATTTTCAACCCGTGGAAAAATGATTCAATCCTAAAAATATATCTAACATGGGTCAAAAAAAATTATTCAGCAAAATATTTATATATATATATATATATATATTTCACCCATAAAAGAAAACTATTCATTCCATATAACTATTTTAAACCGTAAAATAAAATTATCCAACCCTTAAAAAGACATTATTGAATCCGTAAAAGGATATTATTGAACTCCCAAAAAAAATTATTCAACCCGTGTAAAAATTTATTCAATCCATAAAATATTATCCAGCATGTGTCAAAAAATCATTCAATGATATAAACATATTCAACCATAAAAGAAAATTATTTAATCTGTATAATTTATTTAACCCGTAAAATAAAATTATTCAACCCTTAAAAGGATATTATTGAATATGCAAAAGAAAATTATTCAACCCGCAGAAAAAAATATTTAATCTATAAAGTTTATGTCAAATCATTCAATAGAAAAAACGTATTTAATACATAAAAGAAAATTATTCAACTTGTATAACTTATTCAACAAATCAAAGGAAATTATTGAACTCTTAAAAAGATATTATTAGGCCCTCAAAAGAAAATTATTCAACCTGTGGAAAAAATTATTCAATGCATAGAAAATTATCTAACATGTGTAAAAAAAGTCATTCAGTGAAATAAACATATTCAACCTGTAGAAGAAAATTATTCAATCCGTAGAACTTATTCAACCCGTTAAATAAAATGATTGAACCCATAAAATAAAATTATTGTAACAGTAAAAATGTATTATTGAACTCGTAAAAGGATATTATTGAACTCGCAAAACAAAGTTATTCAACCCGTGGAAAAACTATTCAGTCCTTAAAAAGGTCATTTGATCAAATAAATATTCAACCCAAAAAAAGAAAATTATTCAATCCGTATAACTTATTCAACACGTAAAATAAAATTACCGAAACAGTAAAATATATTATTGAACTCGTAAAAGGATGTTATTGAACTTGCAATACAAAATTATTTCAACATGTGGAAAAACTTCAATCCTTAAAAAAGGTCATTTGATAAAATAAATATTCATCTTGTAAAAGAAAATTATTTAATCTATATAATTTATTCAACCCGTAAAATAAAATTATCCAATCTGTAAAATGATATTATTCAACCTTTGATATAAATTAGTTACTCAACCCATAGAAAAAAAATATTCTACCATGAGGAACAAATAGACAAACATTCTACCTTTGAAAAAAAAAAAAAAAAAAAAAAAAAAAAAAAGACAGACATCCTACCATCACGAACAAATAAGCAAAAAAAAATTATAATTTTATATCAAATAATGCTATAAAGTTTTGGGGTTTCGCTTAGTATGTTTGATATAAACATTTATAATTAAATCCTGATATTCTGGATTAATAAATATTTTGTTGTAAGAAAAAAGATAACATACATATTAGGTGCAAATGAAATAAGAAACTTAAATTTTAATATTATATTATCTTCACCAGTTAATATTAAAGGAAAGTTGAATACTAAAATTCCTAAGATCGAACAAAAAGAACAGCGAAACTGAGTCGGCAAAGACAGATTCAAGCACATGAAATTAGTATATCTGAGTGAGTAAATCATGAATTAGCTGTCTTGAATCACGATCCTGAATCTTCCAATGGAGTTGCGGCTAGTTCAGTTTCAGCAAACTCCGGCGGTTTCCTATGTCTCTAGCTGACAAAGCTCACCAATGGGAGAAGAGCTTGCCCCATGGCACAATCACCACTTGGGATGAATGCAAGAAGGCCTTTCTTGCTAAGTTTTTCTCCACCGGTCGCACAGCCAAGCTTAGAGGAGAGATATCCAGCTTCATCCAGCGAAACAATGAGACATTCGCAGAGGCTTGGGAGAGGTTCAAAGGCTACACAAGTCAGTGCCCACACCATGGATTCAACAATGAATCCTACTCTCCACTCTTTATAGAGGATGCTTGCCTAGGTATAGGGAGATGCTAGACACAGCTAGCAATGGGAACTTCCTCAACCAGGATGTAGATGATGGCTGGCAACTTGTGGAGAACATAGCTAACTCAAATGGAAGCTATGGAGAAGAGTATGATCGCACCAATCGGAGCTCGACCCACCACTCGATCGAGTCAGACGAAAAGTTGAGAAAAGATGTTAAGGCATTGAATGAGAAGTTGGATAAGCTGATCTTAGCTCAGTCCACAATGAAGAAAGTCAACTTTGTGTCTGCTGAAGAGATGGAACCAGTCCAAGAAGGGGAGGATACACAATTTGCTGAGGTGTGCTACATGAGCAATGGGCAAGGAGGTTACAACAAAGGATACTATAATTACAAGTCCAACCCTGCCATGTCATACCGCAACACTGATGTTGCTAACCCTCAGGACCAAGTATATCCTCAACAACAAGCAGCTCGATCGAGTCAAGGCCACAACATGGGTATGGTCAAAAGAACAATTACCAAGGACCCAAGGCACTTTCCCTGGACAACAAATGAATATACCACCAGGCTTTCCCCACCAACCACCCCAGCCTGCACCTTCGCAAGAGAATGAGCTCAAGGCAATGCTAAAGCAACTGCTTCAAGGGCAAGCTGATGGGGTAGTGGACACAAGCAAGAAGCTAGCTGAAATAAACTCCAAGATCGAGAACTCAACACAAGGGTTTACTCTCTGGAGAATCATGCTTCTTCTGTTGCTGCTGCTACAAAGCAAGGACAACTACCTGGTAAAGCTATTCAGAACCCCAAGGAACAGTGCAAGGTCATCTTCACTCAAGAAGGACTTGTTGAAGAAGAGGATCAAGAAAGGGTCATTGAAGATTTTTGTTTACTGCTGAATGATGAAGAGATTGTTGCTGCTGAGGCTCCTGGAGTCCAGATTGATCAACCAGAAGTGCAGGCACCTACTGTGGCCATTCACACTTCACCAGTTGAGCTCGCACAACAAGCTCGATCGGCAGCTCGATCGAGTCGAACTCTAGCTCGATCGAGTCCGACCTCTTCTGTCCCAAACCTTTTGCTTGATCCTTACCAACCGTTGCACTTCCTCGTCTCGCCTACTTAGTCAAGGTCACAAGGAAGTGATTCACAAGTTCAGAAGAGATCTCAGTGGGATTGGAATTGAGTTGCCTCCTATGGATAGCATGAGTGAGGCATTTGATCAAATGCAAATGGTCAAGGATGTTATAGCCAACAGTGATAAAGTTTCAGAGGTCCTGACAGAGTCTACTCATCAGTTCAACCTGCTTACTTCACCCACCTTCCTACCAAAGGTCAAGGATCAAGGGAAATTCACTCTCCCTTGCACACTTGGGCATCTTGAGCTTGACAATGCCTTAGTGGATTCTGGAGCAAGCATCAATCTGATCTCTCTCTCAATGGCAGAGAAGCTAGGCATTGCTGGAGCCTTGCAGCGCCCTACTACTTCAATCATGTTTGGAGATGCAACTTCTAAGTCTCCTCTTGGAGTGTTCAAGAACTATCACTTGAAAATTGGAGAATGCATCATCCAAACTGATCTCACTGTGATGGAGATGGAAGAAGAGAAGGATCTACCTCTGTTATTGGGAACCCCATTCCTTAGTACAGTTGGCGCTTCAATAGACTTTCACAAGCAAGAAGTGATCCTTCACAAGGTGAATAGTTTGGTGTCATATCGCTTGCAGCCTAGAGGTTCAGACTTTTGTGCCACAATTGACAGTACCACTCTCAGTTCTAAGACTCATGAAGCTACAAAGATTGTGAGGGAAAGGGTTGACAAAGAACCAAGAGTTGGGAAAGATAAGG